ATTTCAATGATTATAATTACATTTATTGTTTAATATTTTACACTTTATTAAAATTAATATTTTAATGTAAAGTGTAAAATAAATGTTGTCGTAAATAATACAATTTATTAATCATATTTCTTGTGGTTTTTGTTGTTTTTTTTTTTTTTTTTTAATAGAATGCTAAAACTATTAATAAGAAAAATGTATAATTATGCATTTATAATCTATATGAAAATAATTATTTCTATTATTAATAATTATTTATTTATTTTAGTTTTTATCCGAATTAATTCACTTAAAAAAGGGTAGAAAACGTAATGTTTAAAAAAGGAATTAAATTTTTCTAATTTATATTACAATAATATAAAAACAAGTGACATTGATCATCGTAATAATCTTTACAATATGTTATTCCTCCTCTCTTTATTATTATAATATATATTCTTACAACAATTTTATTTTTTTAACATACTAATACATTTTCAAAATAACAACCTAATATATTATAATCACTATCATTACTAAAAAATATTAATATATTATTAATAATTTCTTATTACAAGCTTATAATCATGAAAATTCTATTATAATCTGTCAAATAAAAAAAATGTAAAGAAAGTTCGTAACAAGTAATGTGTTAAAATCCTGTCACTTCAATTCTTCCTTTTCAAGGAATATAATTCTATATATATATATATATATATATATATACATCCATTAAAAATCGTCTTGTCATAATTTTCTTCTTAAACTCATGGAACTCTCCACATGCAAAGAGCACTCCTTACGTATTGCAAATTTGATTCAATTTAGTTGAAATGATTCTTGTCGAGCATTATCGTAAAGCAAACCTTCCCGATATATTACGTATATCTATTTTTCTCTCTCTCTCTCTTTCTCTTTCTCTCATTTTCTCCCCACCTTTTATCACATGCATGCCGCTTATTTGTATAGAAAGGCATTTATCCTTTTGGTTGTCTTATAATCTTTGGCCATGAGGCCACTGCACCCTACCAACCAACGTTCTATTGACGTTTTGCAAAACCTTTATATGTGTATATCTCTGATCCTTGTTACAGATTTACCTTTCTTTATGTAACAACAACAACAACCAACAACATATCAAATTTAACATTTACCAGCTGAACTCATTATCTACATTTAAACGGTATTTCACAAAAAAAAAAAACAAAAAAAAAAAGAAAGAAAAATATATCGACGAGGGAAATCGAAAATAATTGATGCTTCGCTATTTCCTTATCTATCGTAAGCAATAAAATACATCGATTAAATAAAAAGTAAAAGGAAAGTAAGAGGAGGAATGAGAGAATAACATTTACTTTCTATCTTTGGTGCTACAATAACGAGTGTTAGAACGCTCTCCTTGATATAGATCATATATATATATATATATATATATATATATATATCTTTCTCTTTCTCTATGTTTTCATGTTGTTTTATGGTTAATACGATTTTCATCTTTAGTATATGGACCATCATCATCATCATTTTCATCTTTCAGTTTTGCTAATTCATCCTATGAATTGATAAATAATAGTCGTGTACATTAGATCAAAAAATATATGTCGTGATCGTAAGTAATGTAGCGAAGTGTTTAATTAACTGTGAATGATTATTAAACTGTTTTTATGATTATACTTCGTCATTCATAAATTATTAGTAGTCAAAGAAATAATATTATACATCTATACGTCACCTTGTCACTCATCGAATTATAATAAATTTGATCAAATTGTAAATAATAATTTAGTTGCTAATTAATTTCAATGATTAAACAATACGAATATTTATGGCGAATAATAAATGATCGATGATTAAAATATTATCATAAGTTTAATCGTGTGAAATAAACGTGATAAATCATGTGAGCCGAAATAATGAAGGAAGATTTATTATTTCAATTTCTTAATTTACAGATGATATTGACTAACTGACGATGATACGGATTTTTAGAATGCGCTTGCTCGACTTTCTTTTGCTTTTGGTGCAATATGCATTTGCTAAGCAAATCAATCCACTCTTGGTAAGTACAAATATTTATAGATATTCATTTTATTGATCGATATAACATTATGAAGAAAGTTGTATTATTTTGACTATAAAATTGAAAAATATGGGTTACTTAACCCATTGGATACATTTGACGAGTGAGACTCGTCTCATCTGAATTTAAAAAACTTAGATAAAATATAATATAAATATATATATATTTATATTTTTTAATTGAAATGTTGTTGCAAAAATATATATATATTATATTATAATATATTATATTATCAATATATATATATTCCAAATAAAATGTATTACTTTTACATATTAATCCATATAGCATGAAATTAAATTCCTAATATATGCATCCAAATTTATTATTATTATTATCATCTATTATTATAATCTATTATTTTTCTTTCAGCTCAATCAACTTGACGTAAATTACGACAATTACATTATATCAAACGCAACAGGATGCTGCGGTTGCAGTTTCGAAGATACAAAATACATGAAAGCAATGTGCGGAAGCGAATCATCTTTCATGACTTTAGTTGAGAATCTGATGATGGCAAGATGCGACATATCTGATCCTTGTCGTCGATTAGGTAGAGATGATATACAGGATGGAGAATGGTAAATAATTGACATTAATAATGACGAAATTTTAAATCTATACTCGACGAATGATAAAACATTTTGACAAAATTTCTAATGATATTCAATGTTTATTAATAAAGGTTCGACTTTATCGTCGTTGGTGCGGGTGTATCTGGGCCTATCCTCGCTAGAAGACTGAGTGACAATTCTTGGAATAGAGTTTTACTGATTGAAGCTGGTCCCGAAGAACCTACCATGACAGCTATTCCAGGATTAGCTTGGAATGCTCTTTATTCGCAATTAGATTGGAAATATAAAACTGAGCCGACAAAACCACATCCAACAGCGTGTTTAGGTAAAGTAATTTATCATTATCGATCGAACGATTTAAAATCAAGCGAAACTCATGAAACTTTAATTGACGTTTGCAGAAAAGGGTGGATCATGTAATATTCCTAGAGGAAGAATGATCTCAGGTACCAGTGGTATGCACGGCATGATGTATTATCGTGGTCATCCAGAGATCTATAATAAATGGGCACGTGAGGGTAACGTAGGATGGTCCTATGATGAAATCGAACACTTCTTCCAACTTGCGGAAAATCCAGTCGACCCGTCCATGTTAAGTTCATACACTCGTACTGTGCCCGATGGTCCAGTGAAAATTCAACATTATTCTCACAGACCAGAATTCGTGAGTGTACTTTTGGGAGCAGCGAGTGAATTAGGTCACAAAACGTCTAATTTGAAAGAATATTCTCAAACTGGTTATATGGTAGCACCAATGACAGTAGATGAAGGTATAAGAGCAACAACTTCTAGAGCTTATCTAAGACCTGTACACAATAGACAGAATCTCAGAGTTCTGACCAATGCTCATGTCACGAGAATTTTGATCAACGATTATAATATGAGAGCATATGGAGTTGAACTGATTGATAAACATGGCCGTAGGAAAGTCATCAAATGTAACAAAGAAGTTATTTTAACAGCTGGTGCCTTAGCATCACCACAGATTCTCTTAAACTCTGGTATTGGACCAATTGAACAATTATCTAAACTTGGCATTAAAACATATAAGGATCTACCAGTAGGAAAATACTTCATCAATCACGTTTCCGTTGCTATACCAATGTCTATAAGGGATACATCGGTAGAAACTATGACCATGAAATCAGTAAATGAATATCTTGAATTTAGAACCGGTGATTTGGCTAGCACTGGATTAACTCAAGTAACTGCTTTCCTTGAAAGTAACTTCACTGTTCCTGGTTTACCCGACTTGCAAGTATTCTTTGACGGATTCAGTTCATATTGCCCGAAAACAGGATTACCAAACGAATGTACTGATGGTACTGTAGGAACTTGTCCTGGTAGAAGAAAGATCGTTGCTAGACCGACTGTCGTAATTCCTGAAAGTCGTGGTACAATGCAATTACGTAGCTCTAATCCTTTAGATAAACCTCTATTATATCCTGATTACTTTACCCAAGAAAAAGATATGAAAGTTTTGATCGAAGGTATAAAACAAGTACTTCAACTCATAAACACTCCGACCATGAAGAAATGGGACCTTCGATTAGAAGAATTGCAAAGTCCTCTTTGTGGACAGTAAGTTTATTATTTAATTCTTATTTTATATTGTAATAAAAATGAAGATAATGATAATAACGAATTATTTTTTTTTTGTTCAAGTTTGCACGCTGGCTCTGACGCCTTTTGGGATTGTTACATTCGAGCAAAGACTGGAGCGGAAAATCATCAAGCCGGTACTTGCAAAATGGGACCAGCTACCGATACATTTGCTGTTGTTGATCCACAACTACGTGTACATGGTGTACCTAACATTCGTGTTGCTGATCCATCCATTTTCCCACATTTACCCAATTGTAATCCAATTGCTGCTATAATGATGGTAGCTGAAAAGGCATCAAGTATGATTATTAACTCGTGGCCTTAATCAAATAACGAATACGATGTTTTATCAAATTTCTTAATAAACAAATCTTTCTTCTCTTATTTATGAATTGTATTATATCTTTTTTTTACAAATTTTTACCGTAATTATATATTTTAATTAATTTTAAATAGAACGACAAATAATGAAAGACGATTGTTGCGTAATACGCAACGTTGAGGCATGAATCGTATATAGGATATTTTCTAGCACTCAAACGAAATCAAAACTCAAACGAAACACAGAACAGTGGGACACATCGGCGTCGGGCCCTTCGAGTGGTCTCGGATTCCTATGTAAACACATGCGATATATAATATGGGGAAACGACATTTCTTCGTAAGGACAAAGTTATTTATACATTTCAGTCCCCTCTACAATTTTTAGAACATAAGCTATGTCCATCTATGGTTCATGGGGGGAGGGGTCTTCTATTATTGGTCAATCAACTTAGGAGAGGGATTACACAACCGACTTTTTCACTACAAGAAGCCTCGAAAAACCAGTATCTTTCTATTCCATTACAACTCAAAATTAACATTTATTCAACGCATCAAGACCTTGGAGAACTAATCGGCACCCGACGAAGTAGCCTAGCCAGATCTCATCAATCTACAAGCAACGCAATCATCAGCGTACATCAATACAATGAACAATAAAGGAACAACAATTAATAAAGGTAACAACAATCGATCAACGATAATTGACGAAAAAAAGAATAACGTAATGAGAGTAAAAATATATTGAGTAAAATATATATATAATTATTATTATTATTGTATTATTTTATCATATGTGTATATACGATTTTATTATATTCAGAATATATTTAACGATATAAGATAATCGATATATATCACTGACAATCATATAAAATGAATACTGTGTAATTGTAATTTGAGATTGTTTGTTAAAGATACGTTGCATAATCTGGTTTAAATAAGATTGTGGCTGCATAACCAGATAGGTAAAAGGATAATCTTACAAAGAAAAGAAATTGTGGGAATAAAGAATTGGTAAGATCAAATTATTAAAAAAACAAAAAGCTATAATTTAAAGTGGGGAATACTCAACGAGATCTATTCATAAACCAGTATCTCGATATGGTTAATTATCTCTTGGATTTTGCTTTTAAAGGAACTATCGGTGAGTAACAATGACATCATTTATTTTAACAGTCTACACTTACATGAACATTATTTTATTATTAGTATTACATTGTTACTATTTAAATAATTATATTTAATTTAACTGATTTTATTAAAGAATAGACAGAATCTAAGAGTGTGGTCAGACAAAAGTGTAGGACGTGTTCCTGAAACAAGTAAGTATCAGAATCATTTTAATTCTTCCCTTTTCAAAAGAACAAAAAAAATTGATATTTTTGTGTGTGTGCAATACTTTAGGTTAAAAATTGTCAAATCGGGACGAGAAAGTGTGTCCAAAAACTATAAAGAAAAATGGAATCTTGTATTTCGGCAACTTGTGCAGCTGCTGCTCAAGGATCATCAAGTTTTTTATTTACACAATTGATTCAGACGTTACTAGTTGCTCAATGCGGTTTAAGTAGTAGCAAGGATTATCCAATGGATCGTACAAACGAAATCATAAATTCGAAAAGGGAATTTGATTTCGTGATTGCAGGAGGTGGTACTGCTGGATCAGTATTAGCAAACAGGTTGTCAGAGATAAACAATTGGAATGTATTATTGATCGAAGCTGGTGAAGATCCATCGGCATTATCGGATGTTCCTGGAATGATTTTGATGATTCAGGGAACTGAAGAAGATTACAGTTATGATATTGAACCGCAGGAAGGATTTTGTCAAGGTATGAACAACGGTAATTGCAAGTGGGGTAAAGGAAAGGCCCTAGGTGGTAGTTCAGTGATAAATGCGATGTTACATGTCCGTGGAAATGATCGAGATTATAATGAATGGGCACAACTTGGTAACGAAGGTTGGAGTTACGAGGAAGTATTGCCGTATTTTAAAAAATCGATCGATTGTTCTCAAGAATACATAGACAAATGGGGAGATAAACATTGCGCCAGGGGTGGTCCTTTAAATATTAGATACTTCAATTATTCTGAAACGAATATTCAAGACATTTTTATAGACGCTGCTCGTGAACTTGGTATACCAATTCTCGAACCATTAGATGGAGACAATTATGTAGGCTATGGTAAAGCTTTAGGAGCTGTTGACATGTCTCGTCGAATGAACGTAGCGAAAGCATTTCTTTCACCGATAAAGGATAGAAAGAATCTTTTTGTAATCAAATCCGCTAAAGTAGAGAAAATCCTTTTGGATGATAATCGAGCTACTGGTGTTAGGGTTACTTTGAGAACTGGCGAACATGTCGATGTAACGGCATCAAAAGAAGTGATTCTATCGACTGGTACCATCGTAACACCTCAGATTCTAATGCTTTCTGGAATTGGACCAGCGGATCATCTTCGTGAAATAGGCATACCTCTGGTGGTTGATTTACCCGTTGGACAAAATCTTCAGGATCACGTAGTATGGTTAGGAATTCAATTAGCATACATTAATCAGACGAGTGCACTACCATCATCAACGCACATAATGGACATTGCCTATGATTATCTGATGAAAGGAACGGGTGAATTGGCTACGATTGGTGGAGTCGATCTTCTTGGATTCCTTAACTTTACCGACCCAAAATCGAAATATCCCGAAGTAGAGATTCTCATTACTCACGTACCAAGATGGCAAGTATATAAAGTCCAATTCCTTTTGAAAGCCTTCGATGTTCAAGACGAATTAATTGACATTATGAGTAAAGTTGTTATGGAGACAGATATTGTTTTTATGTGCCCAGCTTTACTAAGACCAAAGAGCACAGGTGAAGTTAAATTACGTAGCACCAATCCTGATGATCCAGTTAAGATCTATGCCAATTATTTTAAAGATCAATCCGACAGAAAGATTCTTTTGAAATCTATCAATTTTGCAAAGTCTTTAGCAAAGACCAAAACATTTCAAACTAATGGAATAAACTTACGTCATTATGATATACCCAATTGTCGTAACACTGAGCCCGATTCTATGGAATATTGGGATTGTAATTTAAGTAACACTGCAGGAACACTTTTCCATCCTGTTGGTACAGCTAAAATGGGACCTCTGAACGATCCTACAGCTGTTGTCGATCCTCGTCTTAAAGTAAAAGGCATTGAAAGACTAAGAGTCATTGATGCTTCTATAATGCCACAAATTGTCAGTGGAAATACAAATGCACCTACGATAATGATTGCAGAAAAAGGAGCAGACATGATTAAAAATGATTGGCTCAGCAAGGATGAACTTTAAAATGAAAGTAATTTGCAGCCGTTAATTATACATCAAGTTATTATAATCCACGATGCTTCTTTAAAAAGAAATCTTTGCTTTTATAATGTAAACAAAAAACGTATTGTTTTTACGTGATGATTAAAAGTATTTTAATCGCTTTATGGTATCTGGGATTATTATAAACATAGATAATATACAGTGTCGGATTAAACAGTAAGCGGACTAAGCTGCAGCGTAGGGTTTTGGAATATCAAAGAGCTCTGGGGTCTTAAAAAATTAGATTTATTTTGTTAAATAAATGTAGTTAATGTTTAATGATATAAAATTGTTATTAATATTAATTAACTTAGTGGAAGTTGTTTTGAAACTCTTTCTTTTTTGTTAATTAGAATTTAAAGGTCCCAAGGTCTTACAAAATTATGTTCTTTTTTTAAATAAATGTAATTCATGTATAATGATATGAAATTTTTGACTAATTTTCTTTTTTTATTAATAATTTAATAAAAATTGTTTTGAAACTCTTTTCTTGTTTTTCTTTTTAATTACAATTTAAGGGTCCCAACATTTGTATGCCTTGCAGCCCTCACACTTGATTTTATTCACCACTGCTAATATACTATAATAATATATAGAATAATGTAAATATTACTTCGTGAATTGTGGAATTAGGTTATTAAAATTACATCGGTGTATTTCTGATTGCCTATTAGTAGGCGCTTCTAACACACATTGTACGATAAAAGTAATTAAAACGATATTTTTCTAATGTGAATTTTACGCATGAAATATTTAAACTTTCAACTGAAATAGAAAACATTTTGATTAGTTTATATGTACTATAAATAGTATATATATATATATATATATATATAGATAAAAAGATATTTAGAATTGTAGATATATGCACATCATGTGTTATATAATATACGTGTAATAACCTGTTTGTTTCCAATTGCATTATTTTATTCTAGTTTCTTACGATAATTGATTTTATAAAAATACTGTAAAAAATATTTTGCTTAACGAATGATAACACAACACACACACACACACACACACACACATTATGTCGATATAAATTCACAATCATTATTAAATACTAGTTTTTTTTGTCAAGAATAAAGTAAAATATGTATTTATGTTAAACTGTTTAAAGAATAAAAAAAAAAAAAAAATGTTTTTGCAAACATTATACAATGAATAATGTTGTTTAAAATTCTGATGAAACAAGAAAAGAGCAAAGAACATAAATAAACGATTCGGTTGAATGCGGGCACGTATGTGTTTGTTGATTTCAAAACTGACCATAAAAATCAAATTAATTCATAGAAAGGATGAAATATATATATATATATATAAAAAAAAAACTAACTTTTTAAATTTATATATAAGTATATGAGAAATTTATAAGACATTTAATTAAAACAAAATAATGAGATTTATACATTGACGTGCACGTTGACTATGATATTTTACATAATATTACACATTTCAAATTTAAATAAACTTAACGTAAACATGCGTGTATGATCTTAATAACACTTATTAATAAAAAAATAAAAAAATATCAATAAATCGTTCATAAAAAAAAAAAAAAAAAAAAACTTATCTGGAGTGGAGCCTTGATCGTAAAATTATGCACATTTCTAATTGATAAAAAAAATATTAGAAAAAAAAAAAAAAACAAACAAATACAAACTAAATGAGTAATAATAATACCCATAATAATACCCATAATAATACCCATTCATTATTGTAAGATATTTAATGATCAAGAATATTTCAAAACTCTGTTACGGTACATAAATTAACAATAAATTAATTTAAAATAAAAAACAAATTATAAATGAATCTTGATGTATGCCATAATAGAAAAAAAAAAAGCACTGAGCAAAGTTTTTAATGTCAAGCAAATGAAGGGTTGTAAGGGGAAGAAAAAAATATATAAAGAAATAATACTGCAAAAAGCGGTAATAGGCTGAAGAAAAAAAAAAAATCTAAAGTAAGTACAGTGGGCAAAGAATTGTTTCGTCATATTAAGGTGGTGGTACATTCAAGGTTTATACGTTTCATCGTTATATTCGAACTCCTCAGTCTATCGCTTTCTCTGACACAGAGAACCTGTCCGATCCAGGTCAAAATATACGTAAAACTCTACTTTAACATCTTGTGCTTGAGATAAATTAATTAGATTATTTTATAATATAAAATGTCGTGAGATGTATTCATAAATGATGAAAGAAGTTGTAATATTTTTGTGTAAAAAGAACAAACATTTTCTTAAAACAAAGCATACTTGTGTTTTATAGTTTTTCAAAATCATCGTTCTTCCTGTAACAGATGAAAATGTTTTATTGGTAAGTGTTGTTGTTGTTTTTTCTTTTTCTTTTTTTGTTTCTTTACAAGATAAAAATTAGATAACGTTAAATCTATTATACAATATTACATGGGGACTACATTTATGTTTACTTCAAGAGATTGTACAAATTCTTGATGTTCTGCAATCACATTACGTACCATTACACTTTAACTACAAACTAACACAGTTAAAATAACGTGATAGTTTCTCTACTTAAAAGAAGGAACATCCTAAATCAGACAGAGATTCTATTAAATTTATATTTCATATTTACGAAATTATTCTTTTTTTTTTTGTCGGTAGAATTTGATTTCTTTGATTTGTATATGTTTTTATTGAAATAATAAAAGATTACTTAAAATGAGTCTGAAAGTTTTAGTAGATTTTCGTAATTCTTCTATTTGTTTTTATTCCAATTAATAAATTAATTATCAAAAAAAAAAAAAAAGGTTTATCTTAATCATTTATCTGTCGTAAAAATAAAATTAACATTTTTTTTCTTTTTTAATGTCAAAAAATGATCTCAAAATTTGGAAAATAATTTTGTTTAATAAAAAAAAAAAAAAAAAAAATAAGTTTCATTGCAAACGAAAATAATAATTTTACAGTAATGTAAAACTTAATAATATTTTTTACAGATTTGTTTTACATAATAATTTTAGAGGTGCCATTATATTTAAAAATTTTAAGAATATTTAAAGATATAAAAAAAATTTTACTAAATTGTCAAATAATAATAATAATAATAATAATAATAATAATAATAATAATAATAATAATAATAATAATAATAATACAATTTAATAATTAATCGAAATTAAGCAACACTAAAATTTGATACTTTGTGACGTAATATTACGTTACTACTATTTAGTAATTTATGAAGTAATTAACGAGTCATCTGGTAAAATTACAAAACCATTTGAGAAATTGGAAAAGATAAAAATTCTTTAGATATTTCCAAAATGATTATTTCTGTGACTTTTATATACTAATATTTTTCTATTCTTTATCAATGTCTTAATTTTCTATTTAATACTTTCCAAATACTATGATATAACTATTAAATGATGCGATATAAATTATCTTTACATATTTACAGTAATCAAAAATCGACGTTTATTAAATATCATTTTAACGAGAAAATGATTATAAAGTAATTATATTGTATTATTTGTGTTTTAAACAGATAACTAAATTATTTTCTTAAAAAATAATATTTTTATTTCTCGTGATTTTATCTTTTATAAATGATGATAATTATCAACAAACTTTTGAAACAAATATCTTACTTTTATTTATATATATATATTATAATATTTAAAGAATAAATTACTAAATAAAAAATTATATATATATATAAAAAATTAAATTATTAATTAATATATATATAAATTTACAATCAGTAAATTTTGTGCTAGTTCAACAAAGATATTCATCCATCTATGACGTAACAATTTCTGAGAATAAAAAAAAGACTATTTTAGAAAGTATCTAATAACAATTAAATTTGAAACAACTAATGAAACCAAAATAGAAAGTAATACTCAAAATATTCACAAAGTTATCTAACTATTTGAATTACATTGTTTCAGATATTATTTGAAAATGTTATCATTGGATAACAACGAGCTGCTAATTCAAATACATGAAAAGGATATTAATATTGAACAAAAAAATGTTAACAAATAATTCAAATAATCTCAAGAAAAAATCCAATAAGATATTTTTTTGATTTACTTTTAACAATCCTGTTTGTGAGGAACTTAATCATTTTAAAAAAATATCACATTTTTGGACAAAAGGAAAAGATTAATACACCTATTCAAAAGTTTATGTGATTTTTATTGAATATCTTTGATTCAACGATAATAATAATATTGCATCTATCTATCTATCTATCTATCTATCATCTTTATATTATCCAAAATTAAGATTAAATAATCATGGATCTCGATGCAACAGCAACAGCTGCAATACAAGCAAATACGGTTGCACTTGGTATTGGAAAAATAAGTATCGTACCATTCCTAATAGCTGCTTTAACTTATTTCAATTATTATCTAATGGATCCAGAAAATCAACCAAGAGTAACGAAAAATTTATTGAAGGAATACGATTTTGTAATAATCGGTGGTGGTTCAGCCGGTAGTGTTATTGTTAATCGATTAACGGAGAATCCAAAGTGGAATGCACTTCTTCTAGAAGCAGGTGGTCATGAAACCGAGATCACGGACGTACCAATTTTGTCACTTTATTTACACAGAAGTAAATTGGATTGGAAGTATAGAACTCAACCGCAAGATACTGCTTGCCAAGCAATGAATGATCATCGTAGTTGTTGGACTCGAGGAAAAGTAAGTTAATTGATTCAACTTTGACGTTAACCTACATTGTTTTATCTATAATGACAATTGTTGCATAATGACTTTATTAGAATGTCAGGTTGTACAACAGCATTGTATTACAATGACTGTTGAATATACGTAAGAGACTTAACCAAGTTGGAGAAAAAGTAGGACTTTACTGACAAGATAAAATGTTTAGTAAAATAAAATATGTAAATTTGTTCACGGATAAAATTGTTTATACAGAAAAACAAATAAATGTTTGCGGATATAACATAATGTCTATATGTAAAATGAAAGATAAATATTTCAATATAATTATATTTACATTAAACCTATTACAAGTATAATAATCTTCTGACGTCAATAAATCGTATTACAATATATTACTATTATTAAATTAATTAATTTAAAATTATATTAAAATTATATATATATATTATTAACCCTGACAACATAGACAGAACGTCTATGTTACATTTTGATAACTTTATGAAAATAAAATTGTAAAAAGTATTTATTTGTTATTATCGTAAAAATAACATAAGATCATTATCTTATTAATTTGATTGTAGGTGTTAGGTGGTTCAAGCGTACTTAATACCATGCTCTATGTACGTGGAAATCGCCGTGATTATGATCAATGGGAAAGCTTTGGAAATACTGGCTGGGGATACGACGATGTACTACCATATTTTAAAAAGTCACAGGACCAAAGAAACCCGTATTTAGCAAGAAACACTAAATACCATAGTACAGGTAAGCTACAATGTTTGAACCTTTCATAAAGTTCGAAGAAAGGTGAATAATTATTGAAAAGATAACGTTAACATTATCAATGATATTGAATACATTATTTAATTGAATGTAAATAAACTTTATAGGTGGTTATCTAACCGTTCAAGATGCTCCATATAATACACCACTGGCTCCAGCATTTCTTCAAGCTGCAGAAGAAATGGGTTATGACATCGTGGATATAAATGGTGAACAACAAACAGGTTTCGCATTCTTTCAATATACAATGCGTAGAGGTACTAGATGCAGTGCAGCCAAGGCATTCATACGACCTATTCAATTACGACCAAATTTCCATTTATCATTATGGAGCCATGTTACACGTGTTCTTATAGACCCAAGCACAAAAAGAGCCTATGGCGTAGAATTTATTAGAAATGGTCGTATCGAAACCGTATTCGCAAGAAAAGAAGTTATACTTTCAGCAGGTGCCATAAATACTCCACAATTGTTAATGTTATCTGGTATCGGACCTAGGAATCATCTCGAAAGTCTTGGTATCCCAGTGATTCAAGATTCACCCGGTGTCGGACAAAATCTTCAAGATCATATAGCAGTTGGTGGTATAACTTTTTTAATTGATTACGAGGTCAGTTTAGTTTTTCCTCGTTTAGTGAACTTCAATAGTGCATTAAGATATGCAATTACCGAAGATGGTCCTTTAACCTCAAGCGTTGGTATTGAAGTAGTAGGCTTTCTAACCACTAAGTATGCCAATCAAACTGATGATTGGCCCGATATAGAGTTTATGGTTACTTCCACCACGGTTAACAGCGGTGGGAGCCAAGTGAAATATGCTCATTGTGTAACAGATGCATTTTACGATGAAGTCTTTGGAGAGATAACCAATCGTAATGGTTTTGGTATATTCCCAATGATGCTCAGACCTAAATCACGTGGTTATATCAAATTGAAATCGAAAGATCCACTTGATTATCCATTGATGTACCACAATTATTTAACGCATCCCGATGATGTGAATGTTTTGCGAGAAGGAGTCAAAGCAGCAATTGCATATGGTGAAACGAGTAGTCTCAAGAGATTCGGATCAAGATTTCATAGTAAACCATTACCAAATTGTAAACATATTCCAATGTTCACGGACGAGTATTGGGAATGTGCTATTCGTCAATACACAATGACAATTTATCACATGAGCTGTACTGCAAAAATGGGTCCACGATCTGATCCAATGGCCGTCGTAGATCCTTCCTTAAGGGTATATGGAGTGGAAGGGCTTCGTGTAATCGATGCTTCAATCATGCCCACCATAACTAATGGCAATATCAATGCACCTGTGATGATGATAGCTGAGAAGGGTTCAGACCTCATAAAAAAGGATTGGATATCCAGAAATATAAGAAGCAATGCGACTATCTCAAATACTTTTAATTAATATTAAATAATTTAGATAGTTCATTAAATAATTATAAAATATGTATTTTTTTTTTTTATCATTGTGGTGTCTAAAATCATTACAAAAACAGGTAGAAAGTTGTAAAGACTTGATTTTGTTAAGTTTTATGTTTCCTATTCATTGTTCTATTGTTAAGATGTTTTAAATCAAAAGATTACTTATATTATATTATATACAATTATTATAAACAAATTAATTTTATATTGTTATAAAAACTTAGTCATTTTTCACAACTTATTATTATTTATCAATACTAAAAATAATTCAATTTAAGATTATAACTGGTGCGGTGATAGCAATCCTCTCCTCTCACATTGCATAAAATCCAAAAATTGACGCGATAACGCTTGTCTTATTCCCTCTCCAAGAATGCCAAGGAGCGCTGTTTTCAGCTTTATACGGTAGCTGTAATTGTTTCAATTCAGTGTTGTTCTGTCATCTTTCTGAGCATAAGTACAGATTCATCAGCGTCTTTAAATAATATAAGAATATAATTTAAATATTTTATTGCATATATAAAAGGTATGTACAGTAAAAATTTTCACTACTTTTTTTTGTTGTTATCTACAGTATAATTTTTTTTATATTTTTACTAGTTGTCGTCTCATTCTTTTACTTTTACCTAAAACCGTAACCGTAAAGTCGCCCATCGACAGAAACTGAACGTGTCGCGGTTATCAGTTTCACAGCTTAGGGCGCTGGCACTGTTCAAGGGACAGAAGAGAAGCGCAAAATCGTTTCGTAGCACTTAAAACGGTTCAAATTCGTTGGTGCTTTAATGTAATATCTCCTTGTAAGAAGTAACACAAATAAACTCGACAGTTTCTACACACGTGAGTATACAACACATAAATGCCCATGAGAGAAACATAAATTTAGTAAATCCAAGCCTTAAATGGACATCATTAAACATTAACATTTATTTATGATCATTATAAAAAAACCAAATGAATTGGTGATTAAAACTTTTACTGATTCTGACGATATCATTGGAACCCATGTCAAGAGGAGATTTCTCTCATAAACTTTTCAGAAAAAAATTGTTTAATTCGAGAACATTTTTGGTGATCAATTTTTATGACCAATCGTGTAACGTTACATAATTTAGGTGGATTTAAAAAATTTCAAATTATTAAAAGACAAAATTTTGAAAAGGGTACAGAATTCTAACGGAGAATCGATAAACTGATTAGAAATTTGTAATAAAACATCAATGAATGAAAATACGTTCAGGGTAGATCACAAAAAATAAAAAAAGTTCGAAAATATTTTATTGACATCACTATATAAAAATATCAGACAATTAACGACAGAAAAAATTCAAGGACGTAATCATTCAATAGGTCAATATCGTAATAACGATATATACCACCGGAAATTTATGATTTCCTCAAATCCCTTTCACTTAATCAAAATGTAGATTAGTAGTAAACTTGTTTTGGTATGTTGTGTTTGTAATTTTGTACGTTATACATAATTAAAAAATGAATTTTGAATCACATAAATTATGTTTATATGAAGTTTTTTTAAATATATATAAAATAAATGGAGTATTGGTTTTTTCAATTTGAAGCAATTGAAATTATGTTGAATGAACTTAGAGGCTCCTTCGAAATTTTACAACAAATCTGGTTGTTAATTTAAAAAATGGCCAAACTCCATTCGTGATAAGAAAACGCATATTATTCACTTAATAATTGTCACAATTTTAATAGAAACTATAAATTGAACATCTTTAGATGCACTTAAGTAGTATAACTCGTTAATATCTTGTTCATATATTTTTAATTACATTGAAACGAAAATACTTCAATATCTCGATTCGAACATAAATAGAGTTGTTAGGCCACTTTTAAAATAAACGTCTCTTATAACAAATAATGACATGCATTTTTTTGTCATGATGACATGCGTTTTTGTGCGAGATCAAAAACAAGTTAAATTATTCATCATGTCAAATTAAAAAGTATAAATAAAACCAAAACATTTAAATTAATTTTTAAAGTCATATTATGTAACATAGATGAAAGGTGAAACCATTTAAATCCCTTCTTTTATACCTATTTTATTGAAAGAATATTCAAAATGTGCGGTTGCTACACGTATAAAAGAAACAGAACTCACAAATAACTTTCAATATAAACTAAAGATTCAAACAGTATCGTAATCCATATTCACCATTTCTAATTTTTGATAAAATAATATTTTTTAAAATAATCAATAAAATTGAACTCTATATAAAAGACTTTTATTATATCCAACTCGTGACGGTAACTCTTGAGAAATATATAGTTCGCAATTTATATTGATAAGATTAAATAATATAATTCTAGAAAATGGCAATAAACTTGGGCTCCTTAATTGCCATGGCAATCGCCATTGGAATTGGTACTATTCCATTTAAAGAAATTATACGATCCTTCGAAAGATACGACGAGCTTGATCCAGAATCTCCTATAAGAAATACTCGTGAGGTAAATTATTATTATTATAATTATCTCTTTTAGTGAAAATAAAGGAAACGTACGTCAATTTTGGAAATAAATTCTCCAGTTGAATCAAACGTATGATTTCATCATTGTGGGTGGTGGAAGTGCTGGAGCAGTAGTTGCTTCGAGACTATCTGAGGTATCCAATTGGAACGTATTGTTAATAGAAGCCGGTGATAATGAGAACGAAATTTCGGAGATCCCAATTTTAACATTCTACAATCAATTAACGGAATTAGATTGGAAATATCAAACCACACCGTCAACGACATCTGCTTATTGTCTCGCAATGGTAGGAGATAGATGTAATTGGCCACGTGGAAGGGTTCTAGGTGGAAGCAGTGTCCTAAATGTTATGGCATATGTTCGTGGAAACAGGTTAATATAACATTGATCTGCATAACTTTGCACGCTTTATTTTTTACATGTGTAAAAATAATTCATTAGCACAATCATAAATATCTATAAATATTATTTAAGATTGGATTACGACAACTGGGCAAGAATGGGTAACATCGGCTGGAGTTACGAAGAAGTTCTTCCTTACTTTCTTAAGTCAGAAGATAATAGAAACCCTTATTTAGCGAAGTCACCTTACCATAATACGAGTGGCTACTTGACTGTACAGGAAGCTCCGTGGACATCTCCATTAGCGATCGCTTTTTTGCAAGCTGGACAAGAACTAGGTTATGAAATACGTGATATCAATGGTGAAAGTCAGACTGGCTTTATGATCCCACAGGCTACAATACGGCGAGGAAGTCGTTGCTCGTCTGCTAAAGCTTTTTTAAGGCCGGTAAAGAACAGACCAAATCTCCACGTAGCATTAAACACTCAAGTATTAAAAGTGCTCTTCAATGACGAAAAACGAGCTACGGGGATAGAATTTCTTCGTTACGGTTTAAAACAAACTGTTAAAGTAAGAAGAGAGATTATTCTGTCAGCTGGAGCAATCAATTCACCCCAATTGCTAATGCTATCAGGCATAGGACCAAGAGAACATCTCGAGGAACTCGGAATAACGGTAATATCTGATCTTCGAGTTGGAGACAATCTTCAGGACCATGTTAGTGTCGGTGGATTAAGCTTTACGATAAATGATACTATTACTTTAAAAAAGGAACGCTTAGTATCAGTACCAATATTATTGAATTATTTAATAAACAATGAGGGACCATTAACTAATCCTGGAATCGAAGCTTTGGCATTTATTAATTCAAAATACGCTGATCCATCTGGTGCTTATCCAGATATTGAGCTCCACCTTCTAGCAGGTTTAATTAATAGTGATTTTAAAAATATACGGAAGTTTTTGGGAATCCAAGACATTTATTACAATAATGCATATAAATCACTAAAAGATTATGACAGTTGGATCGTATTACCTCTTTTATTAAGACCTAAAAGCTCTGGATGGATTCGTCTTAAGAGTAAAGATCCTTTGACTCATCCTGACATTAATCCGAATTATTTCGCTTATAAAGAAGATATAGACACTTTAATAGATGGTATACAATTTCTCATGGCTATTTCAAATTCAAGTACTTTTCAAAGATTTGGTTCTAGACTATACTCTGTTAAATTACCAGGCTGTCAAAAATTCCCTTTTGCTACTTACGCATATTGGGAATGTACTATACGACATTTTACTTTTACTATATATCATCCAGTGGGTACGTGTAAAATGGGACCAAAAGACGATCCAACAGCTGTCGTGGATCCAAGATTAAGAGTGTATGGTGTGAAAGGTTTAAGAGTCGTTGATGCATCTATAATGCCTACCATTGTGAGTGGAAATACTAATGCACCTACTATCATGATCGGCGAAAAAGCTAGCGATATGATTAAAGAAGACTGGCGATAACAACAACAATAGTTTTTACATCATAATTAGAATTATTACATTGAATGTATATTAGTTAATTAAATATATGTGGGGTGTGTTGAAAATTGAAGAGGTTGTGTGTGTAAGTCTGTGTGAGTCCAAACGTCCGAGGGCTTGTGTGTGTAAGTCTGTGTGAGTCCAAAGGTCCGAGAGGTTGTGTGTGTAGGTCGGTGTGGGTCCAAAGGTTCGACATGTTGTGTGTGTTGTCGGTGTGGGTCCAGTTGTCCGAGTGCGTTTGGAACATGCGGGGTGGGGAAGAAACCTCATAAGGAGAGGACGGACACGCATCGGGGGTTTGTTGTTTTCGAGAGAGTAGCGTGGAGAGAACTGAGTGACGAGAGCGAGTGAGAAGAGAGTAGCGAGTGAGTAGTGATTCTGTGAGGTCTGAATGAGTGCAAGAAGTTGCGAAGCGTTATTGTAATTATTATTGTAATGGTAATTGTAATTGTAATAAGCAATAATTTGTTAGAATAAAGAGTATCTTTTATATCTCAAGTAGTGTCGGCAACACGGGGGAACTAGATATCCTTAGCCGGATACAGAACAATTGATTTCCCTACATATATAAATATTATAAATAAATGAAAATATATATAATATTATAAATAACATATACATGCAATCCATTGACCTATTATATTATATTTTTATTATATTTTTTGGCTCTGAGGCTCTGATGCACTTTCAATTTTCGAGGTGACCCACAATAACGCCATTCATTGGATTGGCGTTTCAGTTTTGGTTTGAAGGAAAGTAACAGGTGCAAAAATGTAACTCTTTTGTATCGGTTGTAATTAAATAGTTGCCACTATTTAAGTTCCAACCTATGTATCTTCCTCATCATTAGCTTACGATAATTATCATAGGACGATTCCATGTAGGAAAAATCTACGTACAAACAAAACCATTTTTTAATAATAATAATAATTATTATAACAATAATTTATATAAGGTATTCATAAAAGTATGCTAAGAAATGTTTTTGTATGGTTTTTTTTTTGTTTTTCTTTTTCATTTGTGATAATATAACGATGTCAAGAAGACCATTCACATTAATTTGTTATTGCGAAGACATAATTTTACAGCACATTATAATATTATTGTTCATTAAATTATTATTATTATTTTAACAGAAGTAGTTTTGACAAATGTTCTTTTTTTTTTTTTTTTTTTTTTTTTTTGAAGTAAGTCAATCGATTGAAAAAACGCTTTAGATCAATGATACGTTGTTAGCTTTCTATTCGCTTAAATTTACAATGTAATTTTACACGGATAACTTTCTTGAGATCAAAGCACCTTCTCCGAGTAAACTCTACTGAACGAATCCGAAGGTGAAATCTCTTCTTACTTTATTCAATTACTTCGTACGCGATAAAGTTGCTAAGATAAATCTCACATACGGAATTTGTGTCTGGAATGTAATAACATTTATACATCAAATTTCAAAATATAATTTCATGATCTTTTTATATGTTTATAGTTAGTCATTAAGTTATTGTAATATGAAACTAAACAAAAAGATATCATGTGATTGTGCTCGTTGAGCACGATCATTGCAAGTTTGCGTGAGGAATGTCAATTCTATGTCCAAATGAAAAAAAAAAAAAAAAAAAAAAAAAAAGAGAGAGTGTATGTAAAACAATTCTTCATTTAAATGCAACACGTATCTTTATAAAGTATTATGCACTCGGTGTATATACGTGCAATTTAATAATAGATAGGAAATATTAACAAACAAACAAAAAATATTTTTTAATGTAAAATGAGACAAGGACGACAATCATTGATCTATAATTGGAATCGTTTTTATCAACTTAGTTTCTTCTTACGCTCGAAGGAAAAGTAGAGCACCAAAGGAAGACATTGGAACATTGCTTTGTAGTAAAATGTAACTCGTCGAATTTAAAACACCTTTTGTAATGATTCTTTGAAAATCCTGTTTTATTAAAATGATTTAATGACACAACGTTAACCTAATAAAAATATCCCATTTAATTAGATTTTTATTATTACTTCAAGTAACTTCACTTTAACGAATAGTTCAAGGAAGATGCATGATAAATATGCAACTAATACGTCGCTTAAAAGAGAAAGTGTTTAAGGATAAACATTTTCATAAATGATGTCAATGAAAGTACTTCAATTCGTATGTTTTAAAACATACGTATGAAGATATTCAGTTTTATTATCATTATCTAATGGTTTTGATCAAATTGCAATTTGTTCGACAATAAACAGTAAATAAATTCTTTTTATTTCACAGTATATGCAATGCTAATGATAAACTTCAATTATTATTATTAATGTCTCAAGTGTCAATATATTCTTACATTTTCTTAGAAAAAAAAAAAAAATATAGCTGCAGAATAGAGAGTTAGTAAAAACACAATTATTTCACTCTTTCTTTTTAGCTATACGAACGTCCTCACCTATTGCATGGAGCACGAGAATCTTACTAGATTTCACTCTCAGTATTAGCCATACCGCCTGCATTGAAACACTCCTATTTTCGCTTGCAGTTATTTTACCAATGCATCTGACCAAAAAGCGAATCAAAGTTTTATGTGAATTATCTGACAAAATCAAAAATCAAAATCTCCATTAAAATAAATGATGTGTCCGTGATTTGCAAAATACAAAATATAAATACTCAGTGAAATATGCAGTGATAGTGTATAATTATAATTTTTGACCAATTTCGATTAAAAACAAGCTACGTGTTAACAAACACTGTGTTAAAAAATTTACAAAATATCATTCTAGAAAATGACAATAGGTATAGGTTTGGTTACATTAATTGCCAGGACATCCGCCATAGGGATCGGCTTGATCCCACTTATGGCAATCGGACTATCATTATACAGATACGAAAAGATGGATCCTGAATCTCCTATAAGAAATACTCGTGAGGTAAATTATTATAATTATAATTATCTCTTTAACTGAACATAAAGGAAACGTACATCATTTTTCGGAAATAAATTCTCCAGCTGAATCGAATGTATGATTTCATCATTGTGGGTGGTGGAAGTGCTGGAGCAGTAGTTGCTTCGAGACTATCTGAGGTATCCAATTGGAGCGTATTGTTAATAGAAGCCGGTGATAATGAGAACGAAATTTCGGAGGTCCCAATTTTCGCAGGCTACAGTCAATTAACGGAATTAGATTGGAAATATCAAACCACACCGTCAACTACATCGGCTTATTGTCTCGCAATGGTAGGAGATAGATGTAATTGGCCACGTGGAAGGGTTCTTGGTGGAAGCAGTGTCCTAAATGCTATGGTATATGTGCGTGGAAACAGGTAAATTTCACCTTCACCTCCATGACCTGTCACGTTCTACATACGTACATACGTATTTTTGCTTGACTATAGTATATATTTAAACAGCATTGATTATTACAATCATAAAAACTTGTTTTAATAACCTCTCACGTTATAGCACAATGTGATTGCAATCATAAATACTAAGAAATATTATTTTAGATTGGATTACGACAACTGGGCAAGAATGGGTAACACCGGCTGGAGTTACGAAGAAGTTCTTCCTTACTTTCTTAAGTCAGAAGATAACAGGAACCCTTATTTAGCGAAGTCACCTTACCATAATAGGGGTGGCTACTTGACTGTACAGGAACCTCCGTGGAGATCTCCATTAGCGATCGCTTTTTTGCAAGCTGGACAAGAACTAGGTTATGAAAATCGTGATATCAATGGTGAAAGTCAGACTGGCTTTATGATCGTACAGGCTACAATACGGCGAGGAAGTCGTTGCTCGTCTGCTAAAGCTTTTTTAAGGCCGGTAAAGAACAGACCAAATCTACACGTAGCTTTAAACACTCAAGTATTAAAAGTGCTCTTCAATGACGAAAAACGAGCTACGGGGATAGAATTTCTTCGTTACGGTTTAAAACAAACTGTTAAAGTAAGAAGAGAGATTATTCTATCAGCTGGAGCAATCAATTCACCTCAATTGCTAATGCTATCAGGCATAGGACCAAGAGAACATCTCGAGGAACTCGGAATAACGGTAATATCTGATCTTCGAGTTGGAGACAATCTTCAGGACCATGTTGGTCTCGGTGGATTAAGCTTTACGGTAAACGAACCTGTTACTTTAAATAGGGAACGCTTAGAATCAGTACCAATATTATTGAATTATTTAATAAACAATAAGGGACCATTAACTAATCCCGGAATCGAAGCTTTGGCCTTTATTAATTCAAAATACGCTGACCCATCTGGTGCTTACCCAGATATTCAGCTCCACTTCCTAGCAAGTTCTATTAATTCTGATGGTGAATCTGTAAAGAAGTTTGTGGGACTGAAAGACAGTGTTTACAATACTGCATTTAAACCACTAAAAAATTCTGACAGTTGGACCCTATTACCTCTTTTATTAAGACCTAAAAGTTCTGGATGGATTCGTCTTAAGAGTAAAGATCCTTTGACTCATCCTGACATTAATCCGAATTATTTCGCTTATAAAGAAGATGTAGACACTTTAATAGATGGTATAGAACTTGCCATGGCTGTTTCAAATACTAGTGCTTTTCAAAGATTTGGTTCAAGACCGTACTCTATTAAATTACCAGGCTGTCAACAATTTCCTTTTGCTACTTACGAATATTGGGAATGTGCTATACGACACTTTACTTTTACTATGTATCATCCAGTGGGTACGTGTAAAATGGGACCAAAACACGATCCAACAGCTGTCGTGGATCCAAGATTAAGAGTTTATGGTGTGAAAGGTTTAAGAGTCGTTGATGCATCTATAATGCCTACCATTGTGAATGGAAATACTAATGCACCTGTTATCATGATCGGCGAAAAAGCTAGCGATATGATTAAAGAAGACTGGCGATAATAACAACAACAGTTTTTACATCATAATTAAAATTATTATATATTTGTAATTTATATTATTTAATTTATCTAGTTATTTTTATTTATTACATTTATAAATATATGTATATTTATTGTCATATGTCAACGGCCTAACCATGTCGGATTACTATTTCCTGGCTAATCACTAAAGTTAAGCAACGTGGGTACAGTTAGTAACCCGAATGGATGTACTTTTAGAAGAAAGAAGAAAAAATAACCGTGTGCTATTGACTCCAAAGAAACGGTAAAAAGGTGAAACTTCTGTTTATATTGAATAAGTGTGAGGAGGTGTTCGTAAAGAAGTGACTTGTAACCGTAAAAGGTAAAGTAAAAGAGGATAAGAATATTTATTATTATAATTAACTCAGGTATACTTTGCAAATAGAGATTCAAACTTATTAATCTTGAAACTTCTGCTATTTTGTTTTCCTGAGAAATCAATTGTACGTGCCATTTATATATGGAACTATTTAATTGAAAAAAAATAAAATAAGATAAATGTTACCCGAAGTGTTCTAATGTTAATCACTATCTTAGAAAAATGTATGTATAGCGTATTAATTTTGGAAACTCAATGGATTTGACCCGAATAATCTTTTATGTAATCATTCTTATACGTTTCTCATTAACACAAGGACATTCTCATAGAATTAGTTTTACTTATTTATTCGATTTTTATAAATAAAAAGATAAACATGTGAACAATTGAACTTCATATAACTACAGAACTATATAAACATATTTATTAATGGTAAGAATAAATGATTGATATGAGATAATACATCAGTCTTAATAAATTTCACAAATTCTTGTACACACAATGTATAAGAATAGTGAAAGCAGAAGCGTATCACGTTGTCATGCAACGTTGTTTGCTAAACGATAACGTAAGAAAGAAATGTCTACAAAAAAAAGGGAAACGTGTTAAATCGCACGTATACAAATGAAAATGTATAAATTCAATTCAAATTTATACCTAATATAATCTTATAGTATAATATATTTTGAAAGCAATGAAATTAAGCTAAATATTTCAAAACTTTGACAAATAAATTTATTAAAATTGTTGTTTTAAATATGCAAACACATCTGTACGTACATATATGTATATAAATAAGTAACATAAATAAATATTTATTATATGTTAATAAAAACCATCTTAATACTTACGATCATTCCCTTTAACTTAATTAGGAAATCAAATTTTTATAAGTATACTTTTTGCAAAACATAAGAGAAAAATGAAGTACTATTGTAATTATATATATATATATATTTCTTCTGTGCACGTTTCTGTAATTGAACTCCTCCTAAACAGCTGGACCGATTTTAATGAAATTTTGTCTGTGTCTTAAGGTGGATTCGATAATGGTTTAGCGTTACAATTCGGTCCAATATTTAAGTTGTTTATTTAATTAATTTTTCATTTATAAATTCTTATGCAAAAAGCTTATAGATTGAAGTTAGTCGATATTCGAGTTATAGAAAATATTCGAGTCGATGATCGAACTTGTTCGATTCCAGTTTTTAAATCGTAAACCTCTAGTATACTATAATACAATATAGTATATATAGTATTTAATATATCAGGTGGACCGAAAAATAATGTCGCTTTTTAACTTTAAATTGAAACGAATAAATATTTCTAACAAATTTATATTTTTAATCAATAACATAATAAGCCTTGTTATCAACAACCTTTCTTCATCTATAATAATATGCAAATTTTTATTATCAAATTGATCAAAATCAATCGGTTATTGATAAAAAAAAATATACAAAATTTGACATTTGTAGAAACGACATTACTTTCCGATCCACCTAATAGTAATTATGTATAATATTGATACATATATTATAGCCCCTTGAATTAGTTTACATTTATTAAAGCATACCCCCCCCCCAACCCTGTCGTAATCATATTTTGTAATGGTTATTGACATATTTTAAAAGTAACTATTACGAAAGTAATAGAAATGAGATCTTTCGCAATCATTAAGTTTCTAACGAATGATTGATTTTGATTGAAAATAATTAATCGACAAAAAAATTCAAATTCAGTGTTAAATTTTGATTCTTAAGCAACAGAAGAGAAGATATTTATTGGTGATAAGTTTCCTAATTAGAAATTCTAATTCACGATCGTTTGATTTCTATCCGAAATAATGAATGTATAAGAAAATAAATAAAAATTTCGAATTTCCTACTGTCTGTCACTGTTATATTTAATGCAATGCGTTGAGATTTCATCATAAGAATTTTGAATTCTCCAATTTCGATCTTTCATGGTTTTACATATGCATACGAATGTTAAAGTAGATATATTTTCAAGAGAAGCTAGTGAGGTATGTAGTAAGGAAGCACTTTCACTGTCAAAGTGTAAGCGGTGAGTCTTGGGGGAACTATGAGGGAAGGACAAAACGAAATCTATAAGAAGGAGTAGTAGAAAATGGAAGAGGGGGAAAAGCAACGGTATAGTCCTGTATCCCACGTTCAGTGAATCTCACTGTCATTAGAAGTATATTCGTGGTCACTAGTGGTATTAATCTCCAACTGACTAAAATCTTATTGAAAATAGTTTTGTGTATCAGTTACGTCGAAGGTTTTGTTTTGTTTTTTTTTTTTTCAAAAAAAGAAGAAAAGTTCACTGTTGAAATCTTAAATTTGTTGTTTTATCGTAATTCAAATATTAAAAAAAAAAAGAATAATTAACAAATAATTAAGGTGTGTAATCTTAAAAGAAATTATAATATAAACATTTGCACTGGATTAATATCCTTTTCGGACGTATTCAATTTGGATAAGGGTGTCATAGTGATTGAAATTAATTTACATATATATAATATTCTTCTAGATATATATATATAATTATTATTATACTATATAAATTAATTACTATACATACTAAATATATAATTACTAAATATAAATTATTATACTATATAAATAATTAGAAAAGGATTAATAAATATTCGTAATATAAGGATTAATAATAGATCGTTCCAAAAGTTTCTTCCCTTTGTTTCTTTTTAGTAATTCTACGAGCACAATATTTTTTTAAAATTTCAATAATTTCAAGTATATCAAAAAGTAAAATAGAGAATAGAATTGATATTATTTAATAAAATAACGTAAAAATATACAACAACAATAACAACAAAAAATATATATATTTAATTATTATTTAACTTATAAAAAAAAAAAAGAAAGAAAAATAGGAAGAAATTTTGTAGACGACTTAATATCATTAAAAATCATTCGTAATTTTTCTCATTCATTTTGTTCTCTTAGATTCTTCTTTTTCACGACTTACTACTACCACCGGATGACCTCATTAAATTTTTTATTTAAAAAATTAAACAATCGTAAAACAGGTTTGACAAACAAAGGGATATACTATCGCTTGTTTATTTTTTAGATTTAATTTTTAATCATATCTTTTTTGACGATTAATATTTAAATCATCTTTATTAACACAAACCGTAGGATTGAAATAAAAAAGAGAGAAAGAGAAAAAGAGAGAGAGAGAGACGTTCATACACGCATTCTCACTTTTAATCACTCTTTAGCTAATTGTAAAGCAACAGTAACTATATTTATCTCTCTGCACAGGTAACAACTCTCTGTACAATGAACTCGACTAATCGATGAGAAAGAAACGACTTGCAATGGAATGTTTTCATAATAATAACAGTCCTAACAAATGTATCTAGCAATAGAGGAACGTTAATGAGTGCTTTAACAGTAAGTATTACAAATAATTTACATATATATATATATATATATCATTTTTCTTAATCACGCTCAAATAGAATCACTTTATTTTTTATTCAATCATTAATCACGCGAAATATCTTTCACCTTCCCTTTTACTCATTAACATACATACATTTATTTCCTTTCGTTTCAAATGTCAAACTCAGGAAGAAAAACAAAAACAAAAACAAAAACAAAACAAACAAATCATATCAATAAAGATAATTCGTTATAATAGGTGCATTAAAATCCTTTAGAGGAAAGTCCTTCTTAGAGAAAAGAAATAGGAGGGAAAAAAAAACATACATCTCAACAAAGATAATTCGTCGTAAAAATAGGTGCATCAAAAGAAACACGAAGTAACTGTAATGATTATCCCGGAACTCACGTATAATAGACCACCTTCTTCCGGCGTCCAATTCAACAAATTATTTCAGGAAGGAAAAGTTAAGAAAGTGACCGTGCTATCCTATATTTCGCGCTCACACAACACGCGAAATTCACATTTTAACTGAACTCTAAATCTTTTCTTATCTTACTTCCTATCTTAGTTCCGATTGAAATGAGAAAGCATAATAATCAAAGTAATTCGCACCTTAATAAAGTATGTATGTATATATATATCCTAGTTGCAAAGATCGAAAATGATAATAAACTGATAAGAGAATGCTTAGTTATCTCTCAACTAAATAAGGAAGTTCAAAGATGCGTAACGTAACCGTGACTCTCATGGAAGAAACTAAACACAAAAGTGGTTTATGTTTCTAAAGTACTTTCTCCTTTCTCCATTATAACGATTGCAACATCTCCTTTCTTTTGTCGTAAAGAAAGAGAAAGAGAGAAATGAAATGATTCTACCAATGCGCACGTGTTTCCAATACGAAAATCATCACCTACCGATCTTTCGTCATCTTTCGTAAGACTATTACGATGTTATGTAAAAAAACAAGAAAATTCATTCAACATAAACATTATAAAATATAAATTTGACGAGAAATAGAAAAGTAGGATGATAATGAAATATATATTATTTGTATTTTGATTTCAGAAAGATTTTCAAAAATTTACATGGAAATATTACCAGGAATAGTCAGCTCAGAATGAAAAAGACCGATCTCGACCATCCATTTCAAGTGCACAGAGTTGAAAACACTTATTGTAGTCGACCACCGGATATCGATTTATGACGAAGTCAGTGAAAAAGTTGTTTCGAAAGAAAAGAAAAAATAGTAGGTCGACTCTTGGAATTCGCAAATAAGAAGCAAGGGATAATAAGCAAAATAATTGATAATTAGATCTTATGAAATAATCATAATTAAAAAGTAACGAAAAGGATGGTGTTCAGCACGATAGTAATAACGACGGCATTGAAAGGAGCATTAGGGTTAGTAGGAACTAGTCTTTGGTTGGTACCACTTTTGATAGCTGGTCTATCTTACTATCAATATGATCAATTGGATCCAGAAAGTCGACCTATCGATAGAAATCCCCTAAATATTGAATACGATTTTATTGTGATCGGTGGAGGATCGGCTGGTGCTGTGGTAGCCAACAGACTTTCTGAGATTTCAAATTGGAATATTTTATTATTGGAAGCTGGACCGGACGAAAATGAAATAACTGACGTACCTTCGTTGGCTGCTTATTTGCAGTTAACTAAATTAGATTGGAAGTACAAGACGGAACCAACAGGAAGAGCTTGTCTCGCGATGAAAGGTGGTCGTTGTAACTGGCCACGTGGGAAAGTTCTCGGAGGATCGAGCGTTTTAAATTACATGCTTTATGTCAGAGGTAATAGACACGACTATGATTATTGGGAATCCTTAGGTAATCCTGGCTGGGGTTACGAAACGGCACTTTATTATTTCAAAAAATCTGAAGACAATCGGAATCCTTATCTTCAAAACAATCCTTATCATTCAACGGGTGGTTACTTGACTGTACAAGAATCACCATGGATCACACCTCTTGGGGTGGCGTTTGCACAAGCTGGAGTCGAACAAGGTTACAATTTAAGAGATATAAACGGAGAATTTCAAACCGGTTTTATGATACCACAAGGAACTATAAGAAGAGGCAGTAGGTGTTCCACTGCCAAAGCTTTCCTACGCCCTATAAGATTACGTAAGAACTTTCACACAGCTATGAATTCTCACGTGACAAAAATCATTATCAATCCTTTCACCATGAGAGCGATGGGTGTGGAATTCGTGAGAAATGGACGTAAGCAATACATTCGGGCTCGCAAAGAAGTCATTTTATCAGCAGGTGCTATAAATAGCCCTCAAATTCTAATGCTATCCGGTATTGGCCCAAAGGAACATTTAAGACAGGTTGGCATACCTATTTTGAAAGATCTGCGAGTCGGTGATAATCTTCAAGATCACATAGGAATGGGTGGTCTTACTTTCCTCATTGATAAACCGGTAGCTATCATTCAGAAACGTTTCTATACCCCACCAGTAGCAATGCAATACGCAGCCAACGGAAGAGGACCTATGACCACTCTTGGTGGAATTGAGGGATACGCTTTTGTCAACACAAAATTTGCTAACAAATCTATTGATTATCCTGACATTCAAATTCATATGGCACCGGCATCCATTAATTCAGATGGTGGTATACAAGTGAAAAAGGTTTTAGGACTAAAAGATGAATTTTACGACACTGTTTACGATCCGATAGCTAATAAGGATGCTTTCACTTTCATGCCTCTTCTCCTCAGACCCAGGTCACGTGGTACGGTTAGACTAAGAAGCTCTAATCCTTTTCACAGTCCAATAATTGACGCTAACTACTTCGATGATCCATTAGATATAGCCACTCTCGTCGAAGGTGCGAAAATATCTGTTCAACTTGCCGAAGCGAAAGTTTTCAAACAATTTGGTACTAGATTATATCGAACGAAGTTACCTGGTTGTCGACATCTAAAATTCGGCTCAGATGCCTACTGGGAATGTCATATTCGTCACGTTTCCATGACAATTTATCATCCAGTTGGTACAGCCAAAATGGGTCCACCAAACGATCCTACCGCGGTTGTGGATCCTAGATTGAGGGTTTATGGTATACCAAATATAAGAGTCATCGATACATCTATAATGCCGACGATTTGTAGTGGCAATACTAATGCACCAGCAATCATGATCGGTGAGAAAGGTGCAGATCTTATTAAGAGCGATTGGTTATCTTATCCAACCAAATAACGTAATATGATAGTTTAACCAAAATTTTTAATGGATAGGGTAGAAAAGATCAATGAAAAAAAAACAATAATCAAAGATATTACGTTCGATACATTTAACCCTTTCGCTAGGGGCGTGTTTTTCGCTGTGGTACTCCTACTGTACGGGCCATTGCAACATGCAACATCAAAACTGCACTTTACTCGAGAGACTGATCGTTAGCAGCAGAGAAACTCATTTTTGAGTCATTGTGTTGCTGATATTAATGGTTTTTAATCAAAAGAAACAAAACACTACGTCCAGAGTGGGATATTTGATGTGTTATAACTGTAAAATACATGGCATTTTATGGAGGACGATTTTATAGTCGCCTGTAGTAACGAAAGGGTTCAATGTACGAAGTAAAATAACAGAAATGGTCAAAAAAATAAAATGCAAATCAGAAACATTTGATGTTATTTTGAAGATAGAATATTTTGAACATAGTAAAAGTAGTGTTAGTTAGAAATATACATACATAACTCAGGTATAATATCTTCGCGTGCCATAAAATTTGAATAACGCTCAGTTTATTAATAATTATGTATTCTATTTCTCTTCATTTTTCTTCATCCTTTCATATTATAATAATAATTGTAAATATTGATATGTAAAAAAAAAAAAAATATACATAGGTCCGTTGAAAAGTATAATAATAATAATAATAAAATAAAATATAAGCGTAAATGGAAAATATAAATATAAATATAATAAGCGTAAATAGAAAAATGTGATAATTCAATCATGTGATTATATATAATGTATGTAATATATATGTGATATATGTGTTGTTTAAACATACATCAAGTGACCATGTGAATCTTAACAGTTAAGGGAGGGGCCCCCGTAGATTTAAGTTTTTTCGTTGTGACTTCCTAAGACAGGCCACGTAGATCTACGTTTTTCCATGAATTTTTAATATGTTGCATTACAGTTTTCTTTTATGCACATTGTTATTTTTTCATGATACCATCAGTTACAGGTATAAATACCGTTATAAAATATTATAAGAAATATAATTGATTTAATAAAACTACAACGCTTTAAATCCATACATTTATGTTTACCTATTTAATTATCCTGAAAAAATGCCCGGAAACTAGGAAAGACAGAACAAATTCGACCCATCCGTTAAATATTCTCTAATAACGATCTTTCATGGTAACATATACATATATATATATATATATATATATATATTTCCATATTTGTATTATTATTATTATTATTATTATTATTATTAGTTGGCATCAAGAACTCGAAAATGTATTGCCAAAAAACCAAATCCCGTTATTGATCCCATTCTTGAGCGTGATCCTTCCATTTTGCTATCTGTTTGAGAAAGTGTTTCTGCATAATATATACAAACCGGTTTATTACTATAAAACGAATTATAAGATTCCACATTTAGTTAGTTCACCTTTTGGTTAGACAGTTGTTAGAACGTCGAAAGTGTGGAAAAGAAAATCGATCAGAAGTTTCTCGAGATAATGTTACGAATAATAATTATATTATCATTGTTATTAGTTATTTTGATATCTGCGGTAAAAAGTGCAACATTTTTCGATTTATTAAGAGAATATACAAATAAGAATGAACAAGTTAAAACGACGTATTATCCTAAATGGAAGAACTACGATTTTATTATAATCGGGGCAGGCTCCGGAGGTTCAGTTCTTGCTAATCGTTTATCGGAAAATAAAAATTGGAAGATATTATTATTGGAGGCAGGTTATCCAGAAAATTTATTTCATCAAATTCCTTTAATAACTAATATAAATCAATTAACGGACTATAATTGGAATTACCCAATGGAACCGCAACAAAATACTTGTTTTGGAATGATTAATCGGCAATGTGCCTGGCCACGTGGCAAAGCTCTTGGTGGAACCAGCATTCTTAATAATATGATTCTTACACGTGGCCACAAGTTGGATTTTGATCACTGGAAAAGCTTAGGCAACGACGGCTGGTCTTACGAAGACGTTTTACCGTATTATATAAAAAGTGAAAAGTTCGACATTCCTAGTAAGTTACAGTGAAATTTACTTTCATCACATTTATTTATTACATTTTATTAGGATATTCTTCAGATTAAAATATCATAAAGAATTAAAAAAAATATATTATAAAAAAAAAAAAAAATAGAATGAATAGAATAAATTAAATTCGAAAAGATATTCACATAAAGTTTTAGTTCGTGGGATCGTTTGAACCTTAGTCGTCTCAGAATAGGGGTGTTTTAACCCTCCAACGAAAATGGTCGCGTTTCGATTACTCACCCTTCTCATATATTCACTAAAGCCTGAACTTTAGTCAGACTAACCAAATCAACATCTCTTCATTCGGTTGATATCTTGAAATTGTTCTCTTTCAATATATTACTCATGTTTATGTACAAATATTTATCAAAATATTTCTAATAAAATCTATAAAGTAAAGAAAATGAAAAATTAAATTTTTATATATACATCTCAGGTATCATTAATTCATCGTATCACGGAAAGGATGGATATTTATGCGTCGAACATGTTCCTTTTCATACCGTACTATCCACGACATTTCTTGAAGCTGGAAAGAAACTTGGCTATGATATTATCGACTACAATGGCGAACAACGAATAGGCTTTTCATATATACAAGTCAACATGGACAAGGGTGCGCGTTGCAGTGCTGCAAAAGCCTATCTTAAAGTGAAACGACCAAATTTGGACATAGTAACTGGCGCAAGAGTAACAAAAGTTCTTATTGATGAAAATCGCCGAGCTTACGGTGTCCAATATTTTAAAGATAACAAGCAAAAACTCATATTCAGCACAAAAGAAGTGCTTTTATCCGCGGGCACGATCGATTCTGCTAAACTACTTATGCTATCAGGTATAGGACCAAAGGAACATCTTCAAGAGTTGGGAATCAATGTAATTCAAGATTCCAAAGTTGGATACAACATGTACGAACACATTGGTTTCTTGGGTTTAGTCTTCTTGATAAATCAACCTGTGTCTGTAGTAGTTCAAAATATGCTAAAACCGAGCGTGATATTGGATTATGTGTTTAAAAGAAGCAACATCATCTCTATTCCTGGAGGTGCCGAAGCTTTGGCATTCATCAGAACAAAGTATGCCTCTTCTGAGAAGCCGGACATCGAACTACTCTTTACTTCCGCCTCATTACACTCGGACAATGGCAAAGGCTTTAGGGTAGGTCAACGAGTTACAGACGAGATTTATAATACAGTTTATAAACCTATTGAAAATAAAGACGCCTGGTCGATCTGGCCAATAATTCAGAGTCCAAAAAGTGTAGGTCGTCTTACATTAAGATCGAAAGATCCCTTCGTGCCACCCAAGATAGATCCTAATTTCTTTTCTCATCCTGATGATGTCGAAATTCTCCTTGAAGGTATCAAGCATGCCATCAACATATCTAAAACAGAACCTTTCCTCGCGTACAATAGTCAACTACATAATATCAAAATACCTGGTTGTGAATCTTACGAGTTTGCAAGCGACTATTATTGGCGATGTGCAATCAAATATTTACCATCTATGATGAATCACGAAATTGGAACCGTCAAGATGGGACCCAAAACAGATCCCTATGCTGTAGTTGATTCACGTTTAAGAGTTTATGGTGTCAAAAATCTCAGAGTGGTTGATGCCTCTATTATGCCCACTATACCGATTGGCCATGCAAACGCAGTTATCTTCATGATCGGTGAAAAAGCTGCTGATATGATCAAACAAGACTGGCAAATACAACCTCCACAAAAGAAAACTAATTCATTTAACTAGTAGAAATTATAAACTAGGAGCAAATACGATGCCGAGGTATGATTGCATTGGATCACGTGCGCTCATCGTGTAATTGTTCTTCATTTATGACCTATTGTGTCCTTGTGATCACGCGAGGACGATCGAATGCGTAATACAAGATTGATAAATAAGAGATGAGTTATATACCATATATATATGTATATACTATATCCAGTAAAATGCAATATGACTATCCAACGTCATTGGCAATCCCCACAATGTGATAATTCACATAATTGATTTGTCGAGTGTTTTATCCACAATAACAGGAACCACGAAGTAGACAAGAAAATCATTTATTTCTTTTATCCATTATAGCATATACATATATATATATATATACTAGCATAGACGAATATGATAAATATTATGATGTTCGAAAAAAAGATTAAAAAAAAATTAACGAAATTGCAAAATGTATTTTTATTTTTTTTATAAACTTTTTTTTTTTTTTTTAAGTAATAATAGTAAAAATATAAAAATTGTATCAGCTTTAAAAAAAAAATTATCTCGATAACTGAGATAATGACGTCAAATGCATGAATTTCGATCCCATTCAGTAAGATGACTCATCCACATAAATATCCAACGTTGAAGCAAGAGATTCCTAGTAGCAAACTAAATTCATTAATTAAATATATTTTATTAATATATATTTTTCACAGTTAAACCTATAATTAGAAGATATAATATAAAATAAATATTAAATCTTATATAAGAATAATTATTTATTAATTTCAATTTTTTCATTGTTTCCATTGGAAATAAAAGATATACAATGTAAAAATTATTCAAAAATGAATAATATATTAATATCTATCATCTAGTTTTTTATTAACCGTTTAATCTTACATTTAGTAATTTAAGAAGACTGTAACCAATAAAACTTACTTATTAAACAAGTTTATTATAATCATAGTCAACGATTCCTCTTTTTTATGTATGCAATATACAACTAAAAACATTAGACCATAGTATACAAACTAACTGCATATACATGTAGTAATTTGGAATTCAATATTTTCAATAAAAGTTATTTAAAAATGAATTTCATTCTAATTTCTATAATAATGATTATTCACTGAATTAAAAGACAAAAAGAAAAAGAAAAATATATATTTTGTCTAGATTTCTTGTCAAGATATTTGTTATTGATAAGAAACTAAACATTAACACTAGAATTACCACATCAGTCATTATGACTGGTTTGACAACTTTGATATTCTTGTACTTATTGTTATTATTATAATTGTTATTATATAGTTTTTAAGATTTCAAAACATGAAATTATTTTTGTAAAATAATAATAAGTCAATAAATATAATAATATTATACTTTTACATCTTTTTTAAAGACCAGTCATTTTGACTGGTTTTGATAGAGGTCTCAACTGTTGATAATTCTAGTGTTAATACTATGTAATTTATAAAATATTCTTGATGTAATAAGATATAAACAAATAATTTGAGCATGCATGAATCTTTTAACCAACTAAATAATATTAAAAAATAATATTGAATAATGTGAAGTGTCATTCAATTGTATCTTATAACTTATTTACAATTCAAGCATAGCAGTTCTAAATAAACATTACGCATTGCTTGAAATAAAATAAATATTAGATTAAAAATGATATACGTACCTGATACAACGAGGGCTTCGTTTGGACCACAAGTGTGAATGTTTCCCATTGCCTAATAATCTTCTTCTTTCTATGTAGATGCAATAACAAACCGGCACTGCAATATAACACTACTGCTTCGTATAATATCGACACTTTATCCGCGTTTAAACAATAAATATTTGCTAATAACCCTTCAAAGAACACGATTAACTCATTAATAACGATTATTAAATATGATTTAATCTAAATGGGAACTATTAAGGTTACGATATTACGGGAAGCTCGTAAAGCCACTACCCAAATTTATTTGTAGCTTTTTCGAGCTAACTACGCAGTGCTGCCAATGCTATACGAAGCGCCATCTAGTGTTAGCTTTTAAAAACTCTCGTGTTTCGATTATCGTAAAATTATCATGCGATTATCGATTATTCCATTTAATCTTCGTATTATTAATAATGACAAAATTAAAAATAAAAAGAAACAATCGTGATTCATGAATTTACAATGAACATTTATAATAATTAATAATTATCTTGATGTATTATGAATTCATAAATTGTTAGTATCTTTCTTTTAAATTCAATTCAATATTTCAAACTACACTGCGTGCAAAAATTGTTTAACGAATTGTTAAATATATGACTGATTAATAATTTGAATTTGTTGATCGTCGCTATTGATTTTTCCCTCCAAAAGAAATTCCTATTAATTGAAAAGAGAAAGAATTTGTATGTTGAAATTTATTCAACGCGATCATGTTGATATTAAATAGTCGATTTAAAATGTAGAATCGTTGTTGTTGGTCGACATATCGATTTACACGCATTACTGCCTTGGGCAGCAACAACGCTATCACAGTATAGGAATTTTCGATATGTTTTGGACTAGATGTTTGCCTTTTTTTGACAGATTAGATCACTCATGAATCACTTTAATTGTTACTTTTCTTTTAAAATGAAGCAATAAATTTACAGTGAAATATGGCACAATCTATTTTCGACGCTCTGACAGGTAAAACTTGCGAGTGTTTTCAGTAGGTGGGGTTAACCAATAAAGACTCAAGAGGATAGTATGAATATTTACAAGAAGAAAAGAATAAATTTACTACTAACGTCGTTTCGTATCCCTTCGTAGGTGTTTCACTCGATAGCCCTTCTGTACAATCTTTATTAGAATCTCAAAATCTTATTACCGAAGTAGAACAATCAGGTATGCATAGCATATAATGTTCACAAAGAACAATGTCAATGATTTCAATAAAATCATACTGTAAGAATGTCTTTTTATTATGTTTCTTTCTTTTTTTTTTTTTTTTTAGCAATAGATCAAGATGAAGAAGACATATTTCAATGTGGAAAATGTAAAAGTCAATTCACATCGCTTCACATGTTCGTTCTTCATAAAAGGACACATCAAAAAACGCAAGAACAAACGGTGGATTTGAGTCAATTTTTAGTAAATGACGAAAGTCATATTGTACGTGCTGAAGATACTAGTCAAGATGAATCGCAATATAATCCTCAAGAATCATTTGTACGATCAGATCAACTAGGTGAATCTATTATACTTGAAGAAACAGATATGTTATTTAGGTAAATCAGATATTGTTTATATTTGATGTAAACTTTTTGAAATCAATTGAAATTAAATTAATATTAATCTCTTATAATGTTTCTTCTTCTAGTATGGACCAAGAAAGTGCAAATTACTTTACAACTGATTCTACATTTAGTGTTCCAATTATATTAAGTTCTGAAAGTCTTGATACCTTTACAAATTCGGGAATTATTGAAGATAATGAACCTATGAAAAATGAATCGAAGGAGGTATCTCAAATTTTACAAACTGACATCCTTCAAGAAGAAAACTTAGTTAATTCTATAAATAGTAAAACATTATCGCCTGATACAGTATCCGTAGAACTGGAAAATGTTGAACAAGCACAAAATTTAAAAGTACACATTTTTATCATTTTCAGTTATATTAATTAATTTGTATAAATGTATGTATTATATTCTTGTTCAAAAATTGACTTATATTATTACAGTATAAATGTGGTTATTGTAGTAAGCAGTTTGCAAAAAAATTTTACTGGCAACAGCATGAACGATCTCATACAGGAGAGAAACCTTATCAATGCGTAGTTTGTGGAAGAGCATTTGCACAAAAGTCTAATGTAAAGAAACATATGTCATCGCACAAAGTGTGGCCTGGAACTGCTATACACTCGTTACCACCTGAGGTATTATTTTATAATATAACTTATCATTTTATTATGTATTAAATTTATAATGAATTGTTAATATTTGATAGGTACCCCCAGATGGAAGTATAGATCGTACCTATCACTGTCAGTTCTGTAAAGAAATATTTGATTCGTACAAAGCTCTTAAGGGCCATCTTATAGTTTCTCATTTAGCACTAAAAGTGTACAAATGTGTGCAAAGTAGTTGTAGTATGATGTTTGCTGAACTTGAAGATTTTTTGGAGCACACTCGTAGTCATAAACGGTCGGAATATCGTTGTCATGTTTGTGGTGAAGTATTTAATACTTTATCAGACTTAGGACTCCATCAATATGCTCATTCCGTCCAAAAACAAAAAACAACAGAAAAATATTATTGTTGTAATGTATGTAAATCATCGTTTTCTAATTTGGAAGCTTTACAACATCATACAGAAACTACCACACATGATTATGCTTGTTTACACTGTGGAAAGAGTTTTTTGATTGAAAGATTTTTAAGGCGGCATTTAAAAACACATGCTTCATCTGCACGTTTTGCATGTGAAGATTGTGGTAAAGCCTTTAAAACAGAACAATATTTAGCCAATCATAAATTAATTCATAGCGAGGAAACACCTTTTTTGTGTCCAGTACGTTTATACTTTATCTCATCCATATATGATTGTATATTAACAAATTGTATTACACAACCAATTTATTTCAATGTTTTTTTTTTTTTTTTTTTTTTTTTTAATACTAGCATTGTCCAGCTAGATTTAAACGAAAGGATCGACTTGGTCGTCATATGTTGATTCACGATTTGACAAAAAGATTAAAATGTCCATTTAGAGGATATTTGGGTTGTATGAGTGAATTTTCACGTCCGGACAAATTAAAAAGACATCTCCTCACGCACAGTAATATTAAACGATTTAGTTGCAGTCACTGCAATCGTAACTTTCATCGAGCGCAAGCTCTTAAACATCATGAAATGAATAAACATAGTTTAAAATGTGATATTTGTTCACACGTAAGTATTAAGTTTATATTATTAGCTTATGTAAATATTATGAGTAATCATTACTAAATTATTTGATATGATAACATTTAGGCATTTAAAACTAAGGATCAATTAATTACTCACAATTGTGATCAGTCAAGTGAGACTAAAAAACACACAAGTTCTCAGTTGCCTAAAAAAGCATCTGGTTCATTTAAGCCAAGAAAACCTACTCCAAAGAGACAAATGTCATCTGCAAAGGCTGCAATTGGAGTCGCCGATAAGGAGAAATTAGAGAAATTTAAGGCTGATGAAATTCAAAGAAAAGTAATTATACATTTTAAATAAGAATTGTTTTTTTCTTTCATAAATAAATATAATTATTAAATATTCATTTAATTACAGATTACCACCGAAATGTTAAAATCAAATGATTCGAAAAATGATTCGAACATTAAAAGAATAGGAAGCAATTCGATTTCGAAAAATATTGGTTCGACAATCGATGCAACTATACGATCCGATTCAATCGGAAATGAAGTAAAACGCAACACCGATATATACACGATGCATCAAGAAGGCGAATAGTTTTTAAATATATTTTTTAATCCTATTTAAATCATATAATTAGCCTAGTATATAAATAAGTTATTATCATAGTACGTGCAATGGGATCATTGAAAAACTACAGGTTGCATTTTAAAATAGCGTACGATATTTTATAATTTACATATCTGTGATAATTGTATTATAAATATTAACAACATAAGTAACTTATATTTCTGTATGTTACATTTTTTAATTACTGCCTTTTGAACCAGCGGCATTAAAATTGAATAGAACAATATTTCAGTGTGCATATAAATTAATCATATATATTTTATCTCATTAGTAAGTAATTAATGAAGGAAGTAATCTCACATGTGTGACGTAATTTTGCCTATCTTTAATTCTAAGATTATTTTGGAAGGATGTGGTTATCGAAACCACAAGTTTTTCCTTAGAGTTAAGAACAACTGACGAAAAAATATATTCATTATTTAGTTCGTTCGAGCGAAAGGATTTGTACGGTTACGGTTCAAATTGTGCACCTTTATCGATACTTTACATATGATATTTCATTATTTTATTTCTTTGATAATAATATCAATAATAATAATATCTATGACATATCTATGTAATTAAATAAATATTCTTTTTATTACGTTTTTAAAATCACAGATAATCAATATTGAAGAAGACTTTTATTAAATTCTATCAAAAATAAAATGCCTTCACGTGGTTCATATCGAATTGCAAATCAAGAAGAGCATAAAATAGCGCAAAGAGATCAATCTTTTAAAAATTGTATTGCTACGCTGTTAGTGTTTTTTTTCTTATTTATATTTATTCTTATTGCAAATTTAACATGGACAAAATCTAACACTAAGGATAATGACAAATATTTCGCGGCACGCGTAAGTTTAATAAATATTTATAATTCTACAAATTTCTCTTTTATCATTTAATACAATATTTCTCTAAGAGATGATAAATATTAATACAGCAAAATAACAATGGATCAGAAACATTAAAAACTACAACTACAACTACAATTAGAACCACCACAACGGACGCATCAGTCGATATTATTACAGAAACAAATATACCTAATAACGAGCAGACATCTCATTATTTTGATCGTTATTTCAAAAACAAAACAACAACACAAGAAGTTTTAGAAACAAATACCTTTTTAACAACTTTGTCAGATTCTATAAGTACTCTGAATAATGATACAAAATCAACAGTTTCACAAGATCAAAATAATACAATTGTTACCAAAATTCAGTCTACAGAACAGCCAAATCGTTATAGTGATATTACTGATACAACCTTGTTTGAAAATGAACAGAATGATAGTACTACAATGACTCCAAAAATAGTGATAAATAATGAAACTGAAACTAATGATCTATACTTTACTACTGTATACTCTACTACTTTAACAGAGAATGAACTTACTTCTAATTATTCTTCATTTGATCAAATTAATACTACGGATAATACAAACGGTATTACAGAAGAACCAAATAACATGACAAGCACAGTTTCAATGACCACTTTTCTTGATTCAACTGTATCTGCATTTTCTACTGTAACAGATATTACTGAAAATAATGATTCTTTCTTAACAAATTTAACAACTACAACAGTTTATAAACCTACCGAATATACATCAAAATTAACAGACTCTACACAAAGTACCATTTTACAAAATGAAACTACTTCCACAGAGAAAACACTAACAACAAAAGAATTTGTAGAAACAACAACAAATGCATTTACAGCATCAAACCTAGAATCAAACGTTATTATTACAAATGTCACTACAAATAATAATATATGTGATTCAGGACATTGTAAACAAATAGCTGCTAGAATACTATCTTATATGAATCATTCTGCTGATCCATGTGAGGATTTTTATGAATATGCTTGTGGTGGAATGGTAGCAAATCCACAAATGATAGACTTAGGTTTGGCAGATAAGGCATATCACAGAATAGCTAGTATGCAATTTTGATTTTTATATTATATAAACATGTCTTAAATAATTGAGAAATTTAATAGAAATCACTAAATGTTTACAGAACAAATGTTAAAGGATGATAATGGAGAAGCAGCATCTTTATTTGCAAAATACTACAATAGCTGTATGCAATATGAAAATATAAATATAAATGAAAGAATAATGATAGGTAAGTATTGAATTTCTATACAATTAATAAATAATATTATTAAATACAACAAAATCTTGTGTTTGCAGCAAATGAAGCAATAAAAAAAATCGGAAAATTTTATTTGAATAATGAAACATTTGAGAATAATGAAACTTTTACAAATTTCTATGCTAAACTATTAAAAACATATAGGTGAGTTTAATATGATGTTATAAAAAAAGATCAACTTTAAATAATATATTAATTCTTTTATTTATGTTAAGTCCTTTATTATTTGACGTGGCTGTGGATCTTGATGAAAACAAGCCTGGCTATTTTACTTTTAAAATAGGACCTGTGCTTCATCAAAATCTATTTGATAATAAGAACATAGATGAGTATTGTTATGCAAAAGAAACCGATACACAAAAAGAATTTGTTGATCTTGAAAAACTTTATGAAGACTATTCAACATGCGAGGTATGAAGTGAAAATATACTGAAATTTGATAAAAGTTGTTAAATAATTAAAACTGTATTTTTTATATACTTTCTTTTTTTTTTTTTTTTTTTTTTTTTTAAAGCAAAATAATACAAGATTTATCTATCATATAAAGGAAGCTTTAAAGATACTTGGAGTTTTTAATGATTCAGAAAATATAGATCAAGAAGTGGTTCTGACAGGAATTCATATTGATAGTGAAATAGTAAACAATTTCTTTTCTGTAAGTAAAATTGTTCTCTTCTATATGTATATATATATTTTTAAAAAATATTTTCTGCTATTAAAATTTTCTTAATATGATAATAGGTATTTCCACTTAAAAATGAAATTCGTAAAGCATATTTAATGAAGAAATATACTGAATTGTCAATAGATGAATTAAATAATATAACTACATTTGTGAGTATCATATTTAATTCAATATTAATTTTATCTAATCTGATCATTCAAATTTGTCTAAACATATTTACAGATAAATTGGTATGATCTTATAAGCTCATTAACTACAACTACTCAAGAACCACATTCAAAATTTCAAGTTTATTTTGATAAAGAAATGAGAAAAGGTTTACAAAATTTAGGAATCTTTTGGAAAGAAAGACCAAAAGAATTTCACAATGCTGTTTTAGGTTTATATGCATACAAACTTTATCAAGACGTAAGTATTTCAAATAAAAACATTAAGAATGTTTTGTTTTATTTTAATAATTATATTAATCATTTTGTATAGTTAATAATACCAAAACATAAAGATATGGAACAACATTGCCTCAAAGTTAGTATAAATCTATTAAAACCTGAAGCTTCTAATTTATATATCTCTTCATTATCTGATAAAGAGATTACATTTATGAATCATACGGTAAGATTATAAAGAAATATTGTTAAATCATCATATATATTTACTAAGAGTATAATAATAATAATTTGCTTTAATATACTTAGATAAAAATACTCTTTGATGAACTTAAAAAAACTCTACAATTAAACATAGAAAAAGAAAATGGATTAATGAATGAACGTCGAGCATTACTGTCAAAGTTAAATGATCTTAAGCTTTCTGTGCCAGAAGTTTCATATTTTAAATATGAAGAAAAAGATAAGGTATAAACAAAAAATGTCAATACATGAGAGAATTAAAAAAATTGCATTTTCTTAGTTGTGAATGACATGCGATAAATTATTTTATTGATTGTATAAATTATATTATTATTCAATATTTTTAAAATATTATGTTTCATTTTAGTTGAATTTATCTGACAATTACTTGGAAAACTCTTTAAATTTAATGAAAAGATATAGATCATCAATGTATTCTATGGTATCACCGGATATAAACCTTGGTAGACCAAAACAAATGTACATATATATAAATATATATATATAGATATTTTATTTTATTTATATCAATAAGACTTTTTATTTTGACATATTACATTGTAGTTGGACACACTATGCTACACCTTTCCAATCAGAAGGCATTGCAATTCATATTTTGAATCTTATTATTATACCTTTTGGTGCAATAGATTATGGTGACATGTTTATGTCAAATGACGAAAATTCATTAAATTATTTAACATGGGCGACAATTGGAAATTTAATATCACGTCAGATCTCTCATCATTTTGATGCAAATGGTAATATAATCACATAAGTATGATTCACATATAAAATAATATAACTTTCTAATTAATAGCAGTAAGGCCTTGAAAAATTTGGTTATTATTAAATAATGGCAGCATTTGTTATACCTAAGGTTTGCACTATTGGAATCAAACTCGAGACAACAGTTATTCTCAGTTAAGCACAGATGTAAACTCAGTATTTGAAGACTATTTAACTTGTCACGAAGAAAATTATTCCAAAGAAGAAAAGAACATCACACTGCCACATACTTCTCAGACAATATCTTATAAGGTAATATATAACACCATCATCGCACATGGCATACATCATTTTTTTTTTTTTTTTTTCATACTCGACTTATATAAAACTATTTTAGATTTCAGAATTGACATTAAATGAACGTCTATCCGAAATCATGGGACTTAGATTAACATATGATACTGTTACGAGATTACAACTGTTTTCAAATAGTTATCTTCCATGGCTAAAACCAAACATAAATCAATCATTCTACCTTACTTATGCTCAGGTACTTTTGCAGTTAAATGTAAATTATTGCTAATTATTATCTTTCTATTTCTCTCCCTCTCCCTCTCTCTCTCTCTCTCTCTCTCTCATATCCCATTTGTTAAATAAAGCTGCAATAACAGCAATATTCTTTTAAATCCAAAAATATTTATAATGGATTTTACAGATGTATTGTACGAAATCGTTATTGACGACATCTTATATCTCTCTCCATGAAAACGAAGAATTACCTAGCCGTATCCGTGTCTTCATTTCTGCATCTAACAATAACTTACTAGGCAAAGCATGGAATTGTTCTGAAGGATCACAAATTGTCCCCAGTGGTACTTGCGAAGTTTTTCCATATCTCACGTTAAAAGATGTACAAATCCTTTCAAAATGATTGTAACACAACAAGAAAAAAAGTGATCTTTTAAAGTATTCATAAAATATGAATAACGATCTTTTGCATTTATTCTCAGGAACAAGATTTGTTTTCAAAACATTCATTCATACGATCATAATAGTTAAAACGTACGTACGCACATCCAATCATATTTTGCTAAGCTTACAAATTCATTCGTACGCTTCTGAACGACTAGAAAGTTGCATAGTTTAATAAATTAACCATTAATTTAGTTAATTATTACAAGGGACTGTCTTACTGTCCTTTTTTATCAATCGATTCCACAGATTTAATGTGGTGTGCCAGGTCCCCTGAAACAGAAAATATATTATAACTAAAGTTCTTAATTTTCAAATAAATTTGCATTGCATGAATAGACATGATAAATGTATCAAAATGACATTAATGACAATTTTCTACTAATTGTATATTATAATATTTCACAGTTGAAAAATAAATTAGTTTGTCTCTTTAATATAAATGTTAAAAAACGTAAAAAAAAAAGAAATGTTAGGAAAGAAATATAACTTTCACAGAATGTTTAGAAAATCGCAAATATTTTGTAAAATTTATCTGCTGTCAACATATTAAATCTAATAAATAGAAATCAAACATTTACAACCAATGTTTAAATGATATTTATATAGACAGCATTTTGATGTTCAAATGATGCAGTATTAAAACATACCACTACATGTTACATCCAAGCAGCTCTCATGTAGTTTGATCACAGACTGCTTTTTAACAGTGTTCTTATCCGTCTAGAACAGCAAGCAACATGTACAAGTTGCAGACAGAACACGCTCAAATTAATTTAGTTAGTTAAAAGATCACTAAAGAGTTACAAGTTAATAACTATACAGCATACCTCAAAATACTGATGCCATAAAACACATCCATAGACGCATAAAACAGATACTAGAGATTGACAAAGAAGCCAAAGGAGTATGTTTAAGGCTTGGGTCCGTTCAAAGAGAGCTGCACCATGACGTATACAAAGTAATGCTTCTGTTACCATAATTGCACCATATACCCAACATTGAGTACCTACTCTACTGCATGATGGATCAGTTACATACATATAATATTGCCTATAAAAAAAGAAAGCAGTCATATTTTTCTTTTTTTCTTTTTCATTGTCTGCAATAATATACTTCATTTTGACTTAGAAAACAAGTATAAAATTAACACATTGAACGCCGGAACTCACATTGCTAGTCTATGACAAAACAAAGTAAAAAAGGCCGACGTTCGATATGTTAAGGCAGATATGTAAGCTATTAGATTAATGCATTAAAGAATTGAATTTCAAAAAATTGATTTAATGTTAACCTATTTAAAAATGTTCTCACCTAACTGATGGAGCAACGATTACACCAATCAATACCAATCGTGTTATGACAAATGGATGAGAAGGCGGAAACTCATATACATGTTTCAGAAAGAATGTATTTAGCTCAGAAACTTGCCAAAAAATAACAAGTTGACAAAGAGCTACGAATCGCATATGAGTGCACATTGGATCTAACCACCTTACGGAAGTCCAACTACCAGGAGTAAATTGAAGCACTGCTCTTTTTAGTTTGCCAGTAGTACTTTCTATATCCCTTATACTGACCCATTTATATTCTCGCATTTCCAAAATAGAGCATATCTTTAATCCAACCCAAATACCAAGCCCATTACATACCAAAACATCAAGTATAAAAGCATCCCACCAACATTCAATAAAGTTTGGTAATAGATGTGCGAATGCTATTTCAGTTACTTCCCACATAACACTAATAGCCCAAAGTATACCAAGATGACGTATGAGAATAGCCTTAAAGGCCCATCCTAGAAAATGAGCTAGTGCAAACACATCCAAGTGATTCCATATCTTTTCTATTGTAATATCTGAGCAATTAACACCATATTCTTTATCCATGTCTATGTGAAAATTAGCTAAACCAGGATCAACCCATATAAGAATTTTCCTGACGGTATCATAATTTTGAAATAACATAAAGAGTAAGCCCATCAAATAAAGTACACTACAACCAAAAACGATCCTCCAAACAACTGGATGTGGTCTTGTAAATGGTCCATTTGGAAATGTAAGCACTGATATAATAAGGAAGAAAAAGATAACGCACAACATGCCAGCCCACATGTTGTCTTCCACATTGTTGGTATTCCTACATAGGAGTGATTATATTGTTATTTCATAAATTATTATTAAACATGCATTTACATGATTAAATATTATTATCATGCCATTCTAAATACCTTGTAAAAGCTGAATAAATTACAGCAGTTATCGAAATAAGAAGAAGTGTAATAGTATGTGGTTTATAGAAGAATTCAATGGATATATCGTCGACTGGTCTCTCATTAATATTTGGGAAACTATCAGTTCCTTGCCGTAATTTGAGTCCTTCATTGTAATCCGTACTACTTTTGCAATTTACAACCTCATTTTCGTCACTTTTTCTTAACTTCTTTAAAATATTGTCACTGTCTCTATCCTTATTAGACGACATTTTCAATAAATAAGTATCGTAGTTTCAACTTGAACTTTGATCATCTCACGCGTAAGGCTCAAATGTTTCTATTCAAAATTCCATGCAATGTTCAGAAAGTCAACTTGTGAACTATGTATATATGAAAGAAGGAAGTAGCACATTAGCGCCACCAAATGTATTCATTTCCGGTGATTTTTTTTTTTTTTATCTTACGACAGATGGCAGGTGATGGATTATAATATGGGAAAGTATTAAATAAATTAACAATAATAAATAGAAACATAAAAAAATATTAGTAAATTAAATAAATAAATAAATAAATAAATAAATAAACAATATACAAAGAGCAAGTTAATCTTTACTTGTTTTTATTTTAAACAAGGAATTACAAATACATGTACAACTATGACTCAACTTTTTATTTGAAATTTATTACCACGAAAGGTCATAATTCAATTTTTATCTAATGTTTATTGAATTATTTATATTAGTCATAAATAAGATTATTTCATTGATAGGAAGAAAAGAAATAATAATAATAATAATAATAATAATAATGGCTGATATATATTTATTCAATTATTATTTTAAAATCCTAATTTGATTAATTTATATTGTGACTTATTGTATTCTGACATTCTTTTGTAATGTAAAATTAACCTTATGTTATTGTAGGATGTGAAGAAACTTGACTACTAGTGAGAAAAATAAGTTAAGAAGATAAGGACAGTTAAAGAAAGTGATGAAGCAGATGAAAGTTGATACAAAATTTAATATATTTAGAATTTTTCTCAATTAAACATATATCAAATAAACTTAGTTGTTTTCTATTCAATATTAAATAATAAATGTTCTCAAATTTAAAACAGTAATTATATAAAACCTAATTCTATTTTTAGGAAAAAATTTCATACTAACACACAAGACAAGCTTTTATTCAATTTAGAAATGCAAATGTAAATGTCTAAAAAGAGTATAATATGAAGAATCAAAAGATGACCCTGAAAAGGAATTAAAAGAAGGAACAAATGTTACTGACAATAATTGTAAGCTATTTCAAGGCTTTAATAAGGTAAATACTAAACAATTTATATTTATTATTATTATAACTCTCTCATTTTATTTTATAGAAAATAATGTGTACTTCTAGAACTAAATATTATTATTGATTTATAGAAAATATATAAATTCAGTATATAACGTTTTATTTATTATGAAAGTACTGAAAGATATAAAATAGAAAGAACTTTGTCTTCATGGAAAATCATTGAAACCAGTTTCAACCTCTTCTCCATATTCGGGAGCACATTTTTTAAGCCTATATACACATACAACAGTCACTACTTCCCACGCATTCAAACATTCGTTACTAGAGGCTCAGATATGATTCATCCAGAATACATTTTTTTTTTTTTAACAGATTCAACCGTTAACTGCCATGAAAAGGTATAACAATGTTTATTAAACAAATGCAAATTGAACTTTACGAGTGCAAATAAACAAAAACGAGTATTTCAATCCACATATCACATACGAAAGAAAAATCGTGAAAAACGTAACGTTTTGACAATCAAAAAACAAATACTTAGAGGATATCCCCTGCTGAGTTTTTAAATATATCAATCATCATTGAGAGACATCATTTCGCGCGTAGAAACACCGTCTGTCGAAGTGTTTACCGCGTGTCAAGTTTATACGTTTAGCACAACATTCGAAATTTAAATGGAMCAATGAGAATACGAGTGTTCAGCGATGCTACTCCTGATGGCGTTAGGATCGCGAATGTTAACCAATCAACGTCGTTCGTATTTCGGAGCTTTCATCGGTAACCGCGTGTGTGTTCGTATGTGTAACGAATCCAAAGGCAACAGTGGGACACAGGCACGTTACGATAAAAGCAGCCAACGGAGCCGGACGAACGTTCAGATCACAGTGCATTATTGACGAGAGTGCGTGTAATTTCTTCTGTATTTGTCATTGTCAAAAGTGACAAATATTTCAACAAAGCAAACTACATTTAATTCGTCTTTACGTTGAAGTCACGTACAGTTGAAGGTAAGTGTCAAAGAAAGACAACACCTTCAAAGTTTGAAATACGACAGTAGCGTCAAAATGACATGACTTTCAGACAAAGAAATTCGTTAATTGGTTTACTTTTGTTCACTTTTCTCTGACAATTACATACAAAATTTATAATGATATTTAAACTTTTGCATTACTTTTTTAAATCGATTTACAATAACAATTTATTTTTACAAGGATCATACCGGAATGAAAAAACAAAAAAAAAGAGAAATGAAGATGAATGAAATGAGAAGGGGTACACAAATCTCTTTGTGTTACATTTTACTGATAATAAAACGCTCACGAGCGTATATGCTTGCTGCGTTGTGACTGGACACAAACAAAATTATCATTGGATTTATATGGTCTTTTTTTCTTCTATGGAAGCGATCAATTCTTTCGTAATGTTGATACGCGACTGCAGTGTTCCTTTCATTCGATTTGTACCGTAACACTGCGGCACGTTTCCCGTTGCGATCATGCGTATTAGACGCGGTCAAGACTTTTTCTGTACTTCAGAAAGAAAAGAATGTTATTCTCTTTTTCTTTTACTTTTTAAAAAGATTGAAAATGTTAATATTCAATTTCAGACAATTCTATATATCTCCATGAAAAGAATGAATTATTTGAAAATTTGGTTTTTAATAACATCTTGTTGATCATTCTTGTCAAAAATCATACTAATGTCTCCCAGTACTCGGTCAAAAACATTTCAAAGCAATTACTAAAGGAAATTGAAGAAATTAATACAAAACAATTGATTGTTTAGACTTTATCTTTATTATTATACATATGTATAGATACATAATGTTCAAACAAAGAAACTTCTTGGGTAACACGATAAAGGGTAATGAAAAACATCATACAGAAAGTGCATCGAAGCGAACAGAGTACTATGCATAGGCGTCCGTCTTATTTCTCAAGCCAATCTCTTTGTTCGCTTTCGGGTTTATATACACGTTGAAGAGCTGAAGACCTCGATGGTGTTGGTAGAAAATGACGAAGGACAGGCAGAAATCTTATTATGTTCGTAGATGTGAGGTTTGTGTAGGAAAGGGGGAGGTAGACAGAGATTGAAATAGCAAGGGTAAAGTAAAAAAATAAAAAAAATGAAGCTTTTTGAAACAATCCATGAATACTTTAATAAAGTAACTTCTTATTTGTCTATTAACAATATCTAATAGACCTATGCAATTCTATTTTGCAGGTTTACATTCAGCTATGGCTACCACAGCAGAATCACCTATTACCACCGAATGTAAGTCGAATAACAATAATAATGAAAATATACTATTATTGCTGCTTCAAAGTTTCCTTGAATCCTTTCAATCGATCAAATTTGAACAATCTAATACGATTTCATCGACTTGCTCTGGGTTAAATCATTTTTTCGAATAGCGAATCGTCATTACGATCAAGACTATCTATCGATTTTATCGTAAAAGATTATCGAAAATAGTCGGTCTCTTTTATCGAAGGAAGAAATAATAAAAACAACTATGCAATGATGCGCAACGAGTTTCCAGTGAGTCGTCGATGCGTGGCGACTTTTCTGACTAAGGATCCTTAATTAGAATCAGAAAATTTAGGTGACGGTAGGAACACACCCTAAAGACTGCAGAAAACACTGCGTGGATAGTCACTGCAAGAAGAGGGAGAAGGTCAGAGCCCTCTATTGGTGTCCTCGAAGGAGTGCAGGCTTCGTTTTACCGTGGCAACTGCAATGCGAGTCGACTGCAGTGGCTGTACGAGTTGGCCTGTGCCTGCCTCTGTTTGCTTGCTTTTCAGGGGTTCTCATACTTCAACCATAATGGACCACACGAAATGTCATTAACCTTTATCGATTCGTTATCAAGTACTAGCTTTCCTAGTCACCTCTAGCGATATCATTAACGGATAAATTACGGATAATCACGCGAAGTAAAATTATATTATCTTTATAGCCAACTTTCATACTTCAATAAATCTCAAAATTCAAAATCGAATGAAAAATAAGAGATGAGCAAACTTAAACTACATTCATCCACGAAGAAAATAAATGATCATTTTGTGATCTAATTGATTCGAGGGTGAAGTATAGATCTCCATTTCGTTAAATGAAATGGAGACGAGTACGGTACTGGCACGTCTTTTGAGGGGCCTCAACTGCTTAGTGAGACGCGTATCGATCGTAGGAACCAGAAATAAAGACTGAGAAAAAGAACGAATAACAGATATCCGGCATTACATTTTAAACATAGTAAAGGATAGAGCTAGAATTTGGAAAATGTATCATTCTATCGTTCTGTTGTTTCAATTGTTTCTCTTTGATCGTATTTTATTAACAATTATTAAAATAATCACAAATATCTAGTATTTCTATTGAAACTAACATCTTTGGCTTTGTTACACAAAAAAAAAAAACTTAAAATTTCTTTCCATTTGTAAACGAGTCATCAGCATAATAAAAGTGTGTATTTTACTGAACGATAAGACGCATCTTCTCTGTTGTCTTCTCTTCTTGTTTTGGTTGCTCACTCTGAAGTTTTTCAACGATTTATTGCTTTGTGGAATCCAATTAAACACTAATAATGCTATTCATTAAAGAATATAATTTAGCTAGTTGTACTTTCTACCTTTAATACTAGATTGTATTTAATCACTCTCAGGAGTTCTCATTGACAAATTCCCACGATCGTATGATCTTCTTAGTTCCGTTTTGCTTATATAATTAAATTGATCTATAAGGTATCGTCGACTAGAAAAGTCAACAACCGTGCAAACTAACAAATAAAAAGACAAGTTGTTTTATAAGACTAGCCTATATTTTATAGCTTTACTTAATTCGAAAGAACTCAAATAATTCGAACTAATTTAATATAAATGCTATACTAGGCTAATCTAATAAAGAAAAGAGAATATTTGATGAAACGTAGGAAAATATATCTTTCAAAATATCTCAATAAATTAATTTACACGCAAAAACTATAAAATATGTATCTCTCTTCTGTTTGCATGTGTGTGTGTGTGTGTGTGTGTGTGTTCTCTGTACACATGTTCAGAGAAACAAGTTTACTACCGTCACGATGGCAGTTATCGTAAATATGTTACTCTCTTTTTATATGCAGTCAGAAAAATACGAGCACGGGTTTTAAAATTTTTCCGAGTTCAAATCCATCTCCCTGGAATAGCAATAAACTTTTACAAAATTAACAAACCAACTTTTTCCATCTTTTCAAACGAATAATGGTCGATGTTTTTTTTTCTTTCTTTCTTTCACATTTCAACTCTTTTTAATGTAATTAATTAAAAAAGTTCGAGTCTTCTTTTTTGTATGTTTAACAAAACAACGTTAAAATGTTAATAGGAACGAAACGTTCTTTTTAAATAGAAGAAGAACAATATAAAAGCAAAATAAGGGAAGAAAGACAAGAGGGGTTGACAATTCACTGTCAAATATGATGAAGCCGTTGAAAAAATCTTTTGGAAAACGTGCGCGAACAAGTTGATGATGGAAAGAGGGGATGGGAGGTGAGAGATAAGAGGAGGAGGAGGAGGAAGAAAGAGGAAAAATTGCCTACGAATTTTAGCGTGGTACTTGGATGACTCGCAGTAGGCAATAGCGTAATAGAGAGAGGGGTTGGTCAGACAGATGGTATTTTACGGGCGCACGTAGTCCTTCTACACACGTGCCTATTAACCGGCTAGGCTGGATCCATAATATAGGCATGTAGAAGCCGGTACGTTGGAGACCCGTGTGTAGCCCCGACGCAGAGGCGTCGTTCTTCACCATTGGAGTGGTGGTTGCTGCTCGGGTATAGGTTGAGTTTCTGTTGGCGGGGTGCTTGATGGGGCGCAGAACACCTCGGTGGGTGGATATTGAGCGACGCCGGGCGTCGTGGCGCACTGTGTCGGATCAGTCGCCCTTCAGCCACCGCCCCAGATACGAGTTTGGAGCCACTTCCGGCCATCCGCTACGCTGGTCCGACGTGCCCTCTAACTCACTCTTTTTCCTTCTTTTTCTCTTTTTATCTATCTAATTATCTAGCCCATATTTCTTTTTCCTATTTTCCTTCCTCTTATTCTTATTCTGTTTCTTTTCATCGAGAAACATACGTAAAAATCTAGTGACTTTAGAAGACAACTGAAAAAGGAACATCAGAAAAATGCTTATCGGGCTAGTGCGCGACTCGATGCTGCAGTGCTTCTGTCATAGCTGCAAAGCACCTTTGGATATTGTAGGTGAGTGTCTGTCTTGCTTTTAGATTTTACATTTTATTTCTTATATTTAGACGTAGTTCGTGTCTCGATTGATAATTTCGCTCGTATCTTCAATTTTTGATCGATTTCTATTTTTATGCTAACTAAGATGGTAGTATATTTCGAAAATCTGTTCACTCTTGACTGCTAGGTGTAATTTTTTGATATTGTTATAATTACTTCTAACTTATCTTTTTCAATTTGCTTATTTGATCTTTAATCTCAAAAGAAACATAATAAGATAGTTCTTTTCTACCGCAATTTAAGCTAATCGATATTTCGCTAGTATTATATTAACCCAAGTATCTGTATACCTGCAGTTTGATCAATTTTCCTTAACCAGGTAGCCATAAATGTATTTGCATATATCAAACTCTGAAGAACTTCATAAATTGTTACTAGAATCATTTAACATTCTTTATTGAACAATCTCTTTCTGTTTCTATTTATTAATAAGGAAAGTTATTGAATTATTGTTATATAAAGATTAATTCCTTCGTCAAATTTTTATCATTTCTAATCAAACGTTAAATTTTGATAGGTTTATATTTGAATTGAACAATAAGATGATTTAATTTATTATAACTGAGATCGTATCAGGAAAACAATCTAAATGTCATAGAAAAAAAAAAAATCCTTGCGCACGTGTTTGTACACGCACTTGTTTCAAAAGTGACGAGGGTGCGGCCCAAGATGGCCAACAAAGTTACCCCCGATCCTCCGAAAGGTTGCATCGATTTTTCGATAATTAAAATTGGATATATCCCGATGATTATTATTTTGAAATATACGCAATAACTTAACGATCAATTTCTCAATGGTTTATTGATTATTATGAATATTTGAAGCGGGACAGAGGAAGGGTAATGCGCCCTTCAAGAAACCCAATGGAAAAGGGACGCGAACCAAGCAACCGAAGAAGGTGAAGTTCATCAGTAAGTACATTGTGCAACAGTCATTATAATTTACGTTTCAGCATAATCTTGTTTCATAAGCAAAAAATCATCATCCATCAGTGCATCGTCAAATCCTGGAAACTCGTTACGCAAACATCGCATAGTTCACAAAAAATCAAATTCACATCGTATTGCACGGTATGCATCAGCACTAATGAATCCACCCTTATGAATACTTTATCTCTGCGGCTAATTTTTGGCGGGCAGCCAAAAACAGAGGGTGCAAAAATATTCTCTTTTTGTTCAGCCCAAAGTAATGTGATCAATGTCGGAGACTTGCTTTGTCATACAATTTTTCAAAATACAGATACTATCTTATCAATGAAATTTTCTATAACGGTTATTTATAAATTTGTTATTTTCATATAAGTGAAAAGAAATAAATCCAAGCAAAGATGGTTAATTAACGATATCGATCAAGTGCAATGACCCACGCGATACGATTACGTCGCCGTAATGTCGCCTGTAAATTGCACGTAGAAATATAGTCTCCTAGGAGATATATATGGGGTGGTTGGGAGAAAAAGAGAAAGGGAGAGAGAGAGGGAGAGAGAGAGAGAGAAAATGGTTGGAAGAGAAGTAGTGGTGCGTGTGTCGACGCTAGACGTCGCGGCGCCTAAAGACAATCGTACGCCGTTCTCATCGATCCCTTCCTTCGTGCGTTGAGTCATACTTCCGAAACTACTTTTCTGTGTTAGAACCTTCTCCTCTCCTACTCCTTATCCATCGTCGGCCATCTTTTTTCTTTTTTTTTTTTTTTATAAAACCAGAAGATCCTTGGCACGATTCATGATTAAATGAAATTTTAATAAGAGAGAAAGGATCGATTTGAAAATATTTTTCGCCCATTATTGTAGCGACCGAAATACGATGCCAAGAAAAGTCGAAGGGTGGTATTTGCTACGAAGTAATATTGGCAGAGCCAACGGCACCAAAGAGAGCACCATCACCACCCCACACTGGGCCAACTCAACAGATTCCTATCGAGGATAAGTTGAGGGAGGCTGAGCAAAGAAGATTTACTTTGGAATCTCATAAGATAGCCGCTCTTTCCGCAAAACTCAGCAAGATCGAAGAGGTCGCTCGTAAGAAAGATGAACTCAGCGCCGCATTCATAGCCGCTACTCGCGAATCCTTGGATGCAAAAATGAACAATACCGAAGAGAAGCGAGAAGCTCATATTGCCGAGCTTAAAAATAAATTGAAAGAGCACGTGAGTTAATAGCTTTAATTAATTAAATCAACATTAATTAAATAAGGAAAATTTATATACAGGAAAGTTCAGGGAACACACATGCTCATTTTAATTTTACTACTAGCGATTTGAAAGGAAATTGTTTGTCTAATGTAACATAGTTAGAAAAAAAAGGTTTATGATAATTGAATCACAATTTTTAATAATTTTGTTTCCTTTATAATAGTTGGAGAGCGTAGAGAAGTCTCGTTTGAGTCTCGAGCAGCAAACCGAAGAAGTACGATGCGCTGTTGAAGAGAAACTCAAGACTGCTGCTGCTCAACGTGACGAAAACATTAAAAGAATGTTGGATCGTCTTAATAAGCATGTCAGTATATCATGATTATTTTATAAATAAATTTCAAGTAATTATTTGTTATGTTAAATTTCATTTGTAATTGTAGGAGGAGCAAGCCGCTCGTGTACGTCAAGGTATGACCGAACGTGTGCAACAATTAGAATCGCAAATTCAAGGCAAGCTTGATCAAGCTCGTGAACGCCGAGAAAGTCTGGAACGTGAACAAAAAGAAAAATTACGTAATTACGTAAGTTTTACATCAATTCACTCATCATTATAGTCTTTCGTATTAAAAAAGTTAGTTTAGTTTCGTGTTCATCCTGGAAGGATTTCTAATCTAACAACCAACCAACCAACAACAACAACAACGACAAGAACGGCATGCATCTTCTCTCTTTTCTTATTTGCCTTCTTTTAAACTAACGTCCAACTTTCGTTCGGTAGAAATCCTTCCTTGTAACTATCCCCTCTGTTTATGATACAGACCCTTTAAAGGGATTTGACATGGTCATTTAGAATACCGTGAAGATAGCGAAAGTACGTCAGATGGTGGATGAGTGCGCCACGAGAGATCTTCTGGTGAAAAAATTCGAATTTAACAAGAGGGTATCCACTGCGGAGCTAAACCGACAGCGAGAGATTCAACGCCGTGTGCAGGCTATTCGCGAGCATGTAATTTCCCTCCCTCTATCTTGATTTTCTATTCTCATCGTATATCATATTCTACCCCTGTGATAAATAACGGCTTATTATTATATCTTCTGTTTGGTCTTTATTTATTTAGTGAACATGACAAAAGCCTATGTGTAGGACACGATACAACGCGATTTCGTCATTGTTTTTTCTTTTTTTAATATCGTTTCATTTCGTATTATTATTTTTTTTCGAGAGAGAGAATGTCACAACGCTTCGACACATTATGTTGCAAATTAGAACCGTTATAATTCTATATACACATGACGCGTACTTATTATTTTCTTTCACTTATTTTTTCAGCATGGCCATGCATTTATACATCACATTATATGCGATGCAAATATACTTACCCCCTACATACATATATATATATATATATGAATATATATTTCTAGAATTTATGCACGAGATCTTCGAGTGTCCGAGATTATCGAGAGACATCGATAATCGGATAATCTCATCTTTTCATAGCATTCAATCATATTGTATACAGATACTGATCTAATATTACTTATTGAAAGAGGAGAATTGAAATATTCTACGAACGAAAAGATTTCATCATCCTCGTTCAATAAATCAATGTTTTATCCTGTATAAGCAAACGTATGTAAAATGTACGTTTGTCTTCTTGGCTGTAGATAGCATGATATATAAACATTAGATTAGTTATGAAAATTAAACACTTTCTTGTTACATTAAAATAAGTAAAATAATTACGCTCGTTTTATTCTTCTTCTTCTTTTTTTTTTTCAACAGGAAAAACGTGCAGAAATCGTCAGGCAGAAAAAAGCTGCCATGGATGGACAGAAAGGAAAAGGGGAGGATCAGAATATCCTACCTGTCGAAAATGAAACTGCCAGTTCTGGCTAAATGAATTTTTATTTCTCAAAGTCTAAGCCTTCTCGTAATTAAAAGCCTCCCTGCGTGTTCTTGCTGAAAGAATCGTTCACTGGCGCGCCGTTTTGTTGACTGAATGCTTTTATTTATTTCATGAATTAATTATAAGATGACACTAACACATTGATATATTCTCTCTTTTTTGTTTTTATTTACAATTAATATCATAATAATCATTAATAAAAATGCATTCCATATTGACAATTTTTCAATTGACATTAATATTTCATTTGCAAAGAATTATTTTTAACTAACTTCATAATCGTTCAAATAATAATATAATTTTCAAATGGATATTTATTTTGATTATAATTCTCTCTTGTTGAAAATTCATTTTTATTATTGAATTATGATATTGATAAAATAAAAAAATAATAATAAAACAAAAAAGAGACGTATTACAATTGTCATCTTAAAATATTCATAATTAATAAATAAATAAAAGATTTTAGCTGACAATACGTGTCTTGGACTTTGTGATTATTATTTTTGTTATTTTTCTTTGTTTTGTTTTATGTTTTTTTTTTTTTTTTATCGATACGTGCATACAACACTGCCTTATATCTTTCTACGACATTCTACAATCTGAAGTCGATTATAGTCTTAAATATAATTATCTTGAGTTTTAACAAATAGAATTATAATAAAATAATAATAATAATAATAATAATATGTTACAATGTTTTAAGACACTTTTTTGCATGCACAATCGAGAAAATAAAAGAAAAGAAAAGAAAAGAAAAAAAATATTCAATACAACAAAAGTAATCACACGTAGTAGGAATATTTGATGTCATTTTGTTTATTTTGCCACGTCGAAAAAACAAATAATATCTATATATATATATATATATTTTATTTCATTATTATATTTATGCTATTGTTGTCTAAAAAAACGTTTATTAAAATGTTTTCAAGCCTTACAATTAATTTCTTTATCGATAATTAATAATAATAATAATTAGAAATGACATGCGTGATGATCACATTGGCTGTTATCTCTAAGGACTGAAATATTTCTAATATTTATCATTGGATTAACATCATTGGAGCTTTCATTCTCAGCACACGCAGCTTTTTCTTTCGTTTTTAGAATAAATAATAGATAATTATTACCGCTATAATTAGATCTTAAGTAACATTTGCGGCCATATGTGTGTTCACATACCATATATATTGACGTACATGTACATGTGGTATGTGCCGACATATAAGCACACTTATAACATATAAATATATATATATTATAACAGTGCTTTATACTAGGCTTGAAAAACTTGAAACCATTTTATACTCAATCATTGTAATATTACTGCGCTAAAAAAAAAAAACAGATGAAAACTTTCACAAATATATAGTCTAATTGAATATAATAATATGATGCTTCTGTGATGACCTAATTATTTGTCAAAATGTGTAGTGGCAAGTGAAAAAAGTGTGAAAGAATGAGTGACAAAACAAAAAAACAAAAACAAAAAAAAAAAGAATCATAGTGAGAAAGCAAGAAAGAAAGAGAGAGAGAGAGAGAGAGAGAGATTCCTCTATGCTCATATATAGATACCGTGGCTAGAGGATTTATATCTTTCGTGTTATATATCATCGCTGGAAGGTTTTTTAAAGAAGGAAGCTGCCTTTAATAGTAATACGAAAGATTTCTTTGATCAAGAACAGTGTTCCTTTTTTTTTCTTTTTCTTTTATAGAATATTGCTTTTTTTTTTTCAAATTTCTTTTGTGAACAATTTCAAATACGAACAGAAACATTAATTGTAATTGTTTTTTGATTAATAGACTCTGGTCACGGTATCATTATCACAAATTGTGCAGGTACAAAACAGCACATGTGCAAAAGTGATATTACTATTAAATTGCATTCATTCGTTCTTGATCATATCATCTTTTGTCTCCAGTTATTCTTCAATTGCGAATGATCTTTCATCTAAACTTTCTGATAAAGAATTGAAAAGAATTTGCTAAGGATTATTTGTTGTAAGAATTGGGTACAGTGATATAACAAATTCATTAGAAACGGATGCCTGAAAGTAATAATAATAATCTCAACATCATTGATACACGAGGCATATATTTATTTTGAAAATGTCGAACGGTAATAATCATATGCGATTTTAATTGTTTCACGCGGCAAACTGAAGGAAAGAAGAAGAAGAAGAAGACACTCAATGGACGTTCATACAATATCTGTTAGAAATTTTCCTTCTGAATGAAGCTAGAAACAAGTGACCTTCATTTTTACATAGCGATCTTTTGGCGAAATGCAATTCGATATAATGTCCGTACGTGTGTACGTACTTAACAATTTTTTTTCTTCATTTTCTTCGTTATAATTAACATATATAAAAAAAAAAGTATATATACATAAAAATATATAGATTATATATATATATATATATATAGACCTATATAGATTTCTACGCGATGATATATATATAGTTATACAGTGTATGTATGGTTTCATGTCAGCTTTGGTATTGTCTCTCTTAGTGGCACAACGACGACAGAAGCAAGTAATGTACAAGAAAATTCTAAGAAATGGACAAAAAAAAAAAAAAAAAGCAGCAAAATGCTCTTGATCAAAATACAAATTTCAAAATTATTGAAAAAGTATTACTCTTTGTGCTATTGGCTGCCATTGAAATTCATTTGATTTGTGTTGAAAATAATATGTGTTCGAAAGAAATTCCTGGTTGTGTGAAGTAAAAAGGCCGTACCTACACACAACATGTATGATCAACTTTTTTTATTATACACCTTGTCATTTTTTCCCGTCGAAAAAAATCCACGCTTAATTCCTTTTTTTTTTCATTTTTTATATAATCGATTAAAGATCAATTCATAATGATTATTCAAATTTGACTTTTTCAAAAAAATCTTGTACTTACTAGTTTTACTGCTTGTACAGATTCCCTCCACGAAAATGGTTCATTCTAAATTGGCAAGAAAAAAACAAAACTACCATTCATAATTGTCAGAGTCGAAGATACTAAATAAAACAAATGTCTACGTTATTGCGAGTCAATGAAGAAACATGTGCGATTATCTGTCGGTAAGGTAGGATTACAAACACGTAGATTATTTTTGATATTCATGATCATACTTTAGAATAGATAGAAAATTCAAACAAATGACTTCTTTTTTTATCCTATAACATATTATTAGATGCAAATTGAACAATGTTAAAAATAATTGTCAATTGTACTTTTCAAAAGATCAATTATCGACAAAACTAAAGTAAACATTTACGGATTCACATTCATAGGTCAGAAAAATGGGGGGCTCGAACGTTTCCTAAAACGTTACTGGCTGACGTCACAAATGGTGGAATGGCTGAAAGCCAAAGGCTAAACGAAACGACGGGGTAGAGGCTTTGAGATGCGAGAGAAGGTAGAGGGCAAATGGCTGCCGCCGCGGGTGAATAATAATGCGTAGACGCGAGAGTAGGAGCGAGAAAAATTGCGTTTAAGCTAGTGTACGATGTTGGTGAAGGGCCGCTTATGGGATAGGAAAAACCGGAGGCATTATGGGAAGAACAGCACCAAAGCCGCGGCCGGTAAGTCGTTGCTTTTTGGCTAATGAGAGAGAGAGAGAAAATCTACAAAATGGTTCGGCCGGCGCACGACGAGATAGCCCTGCTGCGTACCTTGCTCTTACCAGTTCGTTTTCCATCCTTTATCGAACAAAACATGGCCGAATGCCATCACCATCCGATGATCGAACTAAGCTCATACTTTTGTCTATGACCGATGTCGAAATACTTTCGACTGTTGTTATCACGATAATATCTAAGAAGAATATGAAGAATTGTCAAAAGGAATGCAAAGAAATATGCGAAAGGAACACAAAGTTTTCAAATGAAAGAGCTATTCGAACGGGCGCTGCGGGGAAAGGTTGAGGAAGATAGAAGAAAGAGCGAGAGAGATGGACGAAAGAATAATCGAATAGACATGAAATAATAACAACGTATGAGAGAGATAAACGATCGCAGCCTTGTGACGTTACGTTGTTATGTGCACTCGTAAATATTATGCTTTTTTTTTTTTTGTTTTACTCTTCTATTCTAAATGAATGATATTTGGTAGGCTATCTATATTTTGAAAATGAATTGTGTGCTATCTTTGGGTGCGTGCCAACCTATCTATCGCGTCACGCGCATTTTTACGATCACGCGCGCGCGCACACACACCATTTTTAGTTGTATATTTACAATTAAATTATAAATGCGTATTCATTAATTCGCTATTCGATTAAAAGGTTATATTTATTTACGAGGAAAATGTAAATAACAGTTAGCAAATACATATATAAACGTATACATGTATGGTGAATACATTGGGTTTTCTTTGATTTGATATGTTTGTTTTGAAAAAGAAAAAGAAAACAATACGATGACATATTTTCTCTCTCTCTCTCTCTCTCTCTCTCTTTTGATTATTATTTTTGAGGTTATGTTAACCAACTACATTGAATAATATTACGACGTAAACGATGTTTCATTTATATACGACAATATTATGTAGGTTATGTATCCTCTTACTTTTCTGTCTATTCCCATCTGCGCATGCGCACCCATACATTCACACGTCATGTAAAAAGCGAGCAAACACGTGATTATCGACGGATTTGAACTTCGCTCCCTTCCCTCGATTAGTGGTATTGTTGACGCTTTCAAGCTATAATTATTATCAATGCAATCATGTTGCATTTATATTATTTTTATTTTCTGTATATTAAAAAAAAAAAAAAACCAAAAGTTCTATCTTATGGAATAAGCATTTAATATTTGTTTTCATACAGACAATATTTCATTTGATTAAATGTTATGTTTTTCTTTTTCTGTTTGAAAGAAGTAACATTGTTAGTTGAAAACCTCAGGAATATTAAAAAAAAAAAAAAACAACAACTTTTGTCATTTTAATTATTCATTTATTTTTATTTTAAAACTATTCAATGATTGAATTTAGGAAAGTTGAATACTGTTTTTAATGTAGGGAAAGATACAAAATTATAAAAAAAAAAATATACCAGTTTTTGGAATGATATGAATTGGATCTATGAATATTGAAAGGAAAGTTTTGTATTTTTTTTTTTTTTTTTTATATTTATTTTAACAGACTAGATTATCTGTTAAAGATAATAATGTTAAATTTTGTTAAGATATTTGTATAAACATTTACACATGAAGATTTGGATCTGACCAAAGAGAGACTAGGATCGCTGAGGTCAGACGACGTTTCAACTTGCGTGTTGGCGAAACCGTGAAAGTGCATTCTTGGCATGCTATGATAAGAATAGATTAAGAAGGTGGGGTGGGGATGAGATAACAAATAGAAGAGTAATGTGTGCGCCGGCGCTCCTCTCCCTCTCTTTTACTCTTTCATTCCCTCCCCCTGGTACCCCTGTAGCCCTGCAACATGGGCTGCCTGCCACGTGCGACACATTGTAGAACGTGTTGGATCGCCTTACATCGGTCCGATAGGCGATCCTATATGTACATACATATATATATATATATATATACACATATATGTATACATACGTTGTCATGACGATAAAGACGCCGATCGATGTTTTTAACCTGATAGAAACGGCGACACATCAAGTTGATTTTGTTCTTCGAACTCTTTCTTTGGTGGATATTTCGATTTTTCACTTATTTCCTTATTTTCTCCCATGATGATTTAACACTAGTATATATACCTATTTCTACTACACCAGTCAAAATGACTTTTGAAACTTCCAGTCTTTATTTACTCGTAAAAAAATAACAAAAATTGTTTAACAATAATAATGTTAATAGATGAATCGATTTTATAGACATTTGTAAATAACAAAACGCTTAATTATTTACAGAAATCAAATGTTACATGAAGTAGACATTTTGAATTCAAATGGCGTCAACAACCAGTCAAAATAATTGGTCTGGTATAATCTAGTGTTTAATAATAATTATTTGTAAATTTAAATTCTCGTTTTTAAAAGTAATATTTTAGAGAGAGAAAAAGAAAAGAAAGATCATTGTAAAAAAAAATCTATTGTAAATAACAATATGGATCATCTGTACCGTTGTATAAAGTACTTATGTTTCTGATAAAAATTCGAGTGGTCAAATGAAGTACTTGCATTATTGCAAACTTTTATCTATGAGAACTAAATCGGTAAAGCTTCTTCATTCGTGTCATCTTGAACGACAATTACGTTTGTAATAAATTTGCTATGTCGTTCGGTCGTGGATAGAAAATTTGAGTTTGAAGGATGACGGTGATGTTGCTGGTCGGGTGTTGAGGCAATTCAAGGCCTTTGCAATATAGACTCAATCATCACCAATCTAAGACGAATCTTAACAAGTTAGATCGTATAAGTTACCTTCGCAACAACTCTCTCAATGCTTTCTATGAATTCTATGAATGAATTTCTATAATCCTATCTGCGTTAGATCTTTTGCTATCTTCAGAGAGTATCTTCTAAGTGCGTCATTCCAAGAGAGTCCTTTTTTTTACATTTATATTTATATTTATATATATATATATATATAAGAACATATATATTTATTTATGCATATATAACGTCGTAAGAATTTCAACGACAAAAAAACAGCACGACGAGATGATGATGAAGATGATGATGATGATGAAAACCAGTTTAAGTCCGTTTTGTCCTCGAAACAAAATTTGCTTGTCCTTTATTTCTCTCTTTCTTTTTTTCTTTTTTTTATTTTTATTTTTCTTTTTTTTTTTTGTTCGTTTGTTTGTTTGCATGATGCATTTTAATCGATTTTGTTTTTGACTATAGTTATATCGTATGAAACGTGGGGAATATATAGGTATCCTTCTGTCAAATTGTATTCACTGAAAGATTGGGCAATCGTACGAATATTCAACATTTTCGATGTTGTTATTACGGAAATAGTATGCGCCATTTTCTATTCACATAAATAACATAACGGTGTTTAATTTACACTTCATCCATTCACAAACACCATTCAAAACATTTGATACTATGTAAACATCGGAGAAATATTAGCAATTTATAATCGTTTTTTTTTTTTTAACCTTTTTTAAATCATACATTTATGAGCATTTAAAGATCATTTAAATGCTTATGAAAGATAAATCCAAGAGACCTTGGTCTATATTTAATTTTGCATTACTAATCGCGATTTAATACAAAAATTTCGTTGATGTATTATTATTATTGAAAAGGATAATGATGATAACAACGACAACGACGACGGAGAAGAAGAAGAAGAAGAGATTCTGGCCTAACATGTTTCTGAAATCATAATATACGCGTATTAATATTTTACGTAATACTGAACGTAACGTGAACAATTCTAACAATAATCAGTTTGTTTATTTCGTTATTGGCGATAAATCGTTTCATAGAATGTGATTACGATTGAAATTACATATACACCAATTTATTTTGATAACTGCAATGACCAACCATGATCTGTCAGGTTGTATTATATTTGAAATATCTAACATCGATATTTAAATGACGAATTTTCAAGTTCAACTCGTTAGAGGATTATCAAATTTATCGAATATATATATATATATATATTTGTCGTAATTGAGCGTCGTTGATATCAACAAACAAAAAAAAACAAAACGAATTAAAATTCTTTTAGGTAGAAGATATTACGAAATTTGCTTTTAAGTATACCTGTGTGTTAGGTCGATAAACGTTAATTTATTGTTGGTGATGTCTCAATATCACGTGTTACACCAGTGACTAGAGAATCTAGTAGAATGACGTCAGAAAAATTTTGCTCTCTTTTCCCCTCTTCTTCTTCTTCTTCTTCTTCTTCTTCTTCACTTCCCAGTCGACCAATTCTTTTTATTTTATTTTATTTTATTTTTTATTTATTTTTTTTTTTTTCGAATAAAACATCCAGATAGAATAAATTAAGCTTGATCATCATTGTTAACACGTACGCAAATCTCTCTCTGTTTTTTTTTTATTCTTTTTTTTTTTTTTTTGTTGTCTTTACAAATCATCTCATTGCGAATAGTTTTTTTATATTCATAAAACATAACTATTCATCGCCGCACCACCGGTTTGAGTTTGAGATAACTGATTGTGAGTGAGTGAGTGAACAAGGTGTACTACACCTGATCACAGAACACTGCGTAGTCTCTTTGAAATTGCTTATTGTTTTTTTTTTTTTTGTTTTTTTTTTTTTGAGGTCATCGAGGTAATCTGATTTATTTACGAAACAGTTATTTTTAACGAGTACATTTCTGTTTATACGTTCATCTGCTGCACATATAATAATACGTTGAGTGCAAACGTAATAATATTAATAATTTCATTGCTAATAATTGATATTATCAATGTTTACTTACTTTTACCTATTATTTTGTCCTTGTTTTCTCTTTTTTTTTCTTTTTCTTTTTATTGCGAGTCAACCTTGCATATATGTGGATAAAACATCTGTTCGTCTCGATCGATAACTAATTAACATCAAACTCGTCCAACAGTCTATGAAAGATATTACCTCGTTATTATTGTAAGTGTTGATGATCAGTGTTTTTTTTTTTTTTTTTTTTTTTTATAAAAAGATAACTTAGTGAAAGAGATTATGAAAATATTACGATGACAAAGTTTATTTTAAATTATTCCGAGATAACAATACGTTTCTTTCACAAGTTTTTAATTTTTTGTTTTGTTTTTGATGTCTAGTCAAATTAGAAATTAATATTTATTTTTCTAAAGTATTGCAATCGTTGATCGATATTTAATGGATTATAGTTTCTAACTGATGAATCAAGTGAAAAAACAATAACAAAGTTCATCTTATTCATAGTATTTATTTGTATAATTTGTTGTCAGTAGTTTAATTTTGATAATTATTTTCAAAATGTAAATAAATTAGAATAATGAATATTGTATAATAGATATAAATTATTATATATATGGTATTATATGTATTATATATGGTAATAATATGAAAATATTATTTTTTTTTATATATATATATATTTTATATATTTTTTTCCAATATTTGTTACTATATGATAATAATATGAAAATATGGTATTATATTTATTTTATATTAAAGGGTGCCCCGCCACGTGTTGCTGTGGCTCACAATCAGTCCGATACACACGTCTTTAAGTCAACGAATTACCTAATATTGCAATTATAAATTGAAATATAAACTATCCTATCTTTCAAGTTGGATGAAACTGCACACGGTGTGCAAAATTTGATTGAAATCGGTTCAGTAGTTTAGGAATTCATTGCGGACAAACAACGTGACACGTAATTTATATATATTAAAATGGTAATAATAGAAAAATGTGGTATTATATTTATTATATATGATAATAATATAAAAAATATTAATTTTTTATATGTATATATTTGTATAAACAATACATATAAACTGAAGTTTTTTGAAA